GGGCGTCCAGGGCGTCCCAGCCATGACAGTGATGGGTGGGACTGACTGATGACTGACTGATCGAGACGACTGGCTTTCTGCCTGCCAGGCTTGCCTGACGGGTACAAGGGCCGACCAGACACGTGTGGCAAGGCTGAGCTTGTCGACAAAAAGAGAACATCACCCCGTACCACAGGTCCACAGCAGAACGGATGGCTGCAGCTGAGACAGCGGGGTGACTTGATGGACGGTGCTCGGTGCAATCAACGGACCGCTGCTGGATCGCCCGAAAAGCGACGGCATCGGCAGATCGGCATGGTCCACCGTATACTAGTATATGGCTGCAATAATGAGTGCCATTATCACGAAATGGTTGACGATGCCGTTCGGAAGCAGGCTGCGCCATTGGCAGAAAGAAAACATGGGATTTCTCATGGGTGGGCACCAACAAACGCGTATACAAGGCGAGAAGGGAATGGAACATCCCGTGCGCCCTGTGTAAGGTTAAGGTAGGCGGGTACCTTCATACCTGGGTACGTCACGGCGTCTACGTGCTCCATACTGTATGTGGGGTGGGAAGTTCCGCCACAACTCCATCGTACCTCACCCCCCCTCCTCCTTCCTCTTGTCCTACCTATTCCATCAGTATCCCATCAGATATCAGAAAGGGCCCCTTCCAAGGTACACCCTCTTTCGGACCAACCTTCCCATGATCGCAACTTCTGACCTCGAGGGGGCCTTTCCATTGGGGTATGGCGCTGTCCCGCCGCTCCCATCTCACCCGGCCGATTTCAGTAATCAGCCCGAGATGATGGGGAAGGGGGAAGAGAGGGGGGGGGAGGGCTGACGATTACTGCGGCGAAAGTGTGTGCTGTGTGTGGTTAGTCTTCTCACAGGGCATCCCCCTCTTGCAGTCTAGAATCGAGGTTTAATGATCCTTCTGCTGTTTCTGTATCGTCAAACCTGTGCAGCCGTGTCGTGGCTTGCCGTGCAGCCCGTGGTGGTGTCGTCACAATCAAGGTTTCTTAGATGCAAACATGTGCGCGTTTCAGGGGGCGAAATTCTTCCGAAGGTGGGAATGGGGCAGGGAGATCTGTTGTATGGCTTATTATGGCTTGTCACGCTTTGTGTGTTTGTTTGCTGATGCGTGTATGTGTGTCTATGTGCGTGTGGCTCAGGACATGTCAGGTTGCCATGGCTGATCCTTCGGCTCCGGGATATTTGCCACCGTGGGGATAACAATCGGTTGAGATGAGCACCGCTGGACTTTGCAGTCCGCGGTAGCCTGACTTGCCTGACCTGAGAACAGATAGGTAGAATGTCTGGCACCAGAAGCAGTCGGCATCTAATCGGGGGGTTGTCCAACGTCAACTTCTGAGCGACAGGGGCAGTTGATGGTGTGTGGTTGGTATTTTGGAGGGGGGTGCGACACCACCGAAAGGATGGGAAAGGGACGATCTGGAGGTCATCAGTCGGTCGGCATACCGCCCCCCGTTCCCTCGGCCGAGTGCCTCAGATACCGAGCCTCCCAGCTGCCAGACCAAGGGGCCAGGAGCTCTCTCATGACAAACAAGGACCAGCGTCTACGTAATTCCCCCATCACAGCCACACCAACCAGACCTCCCAGTTTGCAGACCTCATGTTGACCCTGTGCCCAATATGCTGGTCGAGACGAGAAGAGTGATGAGACAGCCAGGACGGAGAGACATGCAGCATGCGGTTTCACTATCGCGTTTGAACGCTGCATGCACTTGCATGGAGATATGGAGACGGCCATGGAGATGGAGAGGGAAAGTAAAGAGCTTGCAGGCATTTGCAGGCAGCCGGGGCCCGTGTTGCCTCTGCAGATCAGATCTCGCAATTAACCATATACCGCAGTGAATACTACATGAACACTACATACGAAGCTCAAGCTCCACCGGGGCAGCCGAGGATGGGGCACCAAGCATCCATCATACGGCCGTCATCAGGATCATCTAACTATACTACACTAGTAGTATTGCATCGCTGCTATGGCTGGTTGGGCATGTTACAGGGCCCGCCCACTCTCCTCCTGGGGGCCTTTGGGGGCAGGCAGTGGATGAACGTGAGAGCCTGCTGGGTCACATCGTCCCGAGTCAAAGCTTCCAAGCTACCCCATCATCGTCTTTGCTTTTTGCTAACCGAGAAATCGAGTCCGTCATCCGGGATGTTGCATGGCGCCCTTTTTCTCCTTGGGACGATGCACCGTCACGTACTAAGCTACAGGGTGCTATTATCTATACCGGGTGATGCCACCCCCACGCCTGCCGTCTCTGCTTGTGCAATGCGCCTGGGTCTCTTTGTTTCCGGCGCGGCGCTGCGTGCAGGTGTGCCCAGTGTGTGCATAGCTCCCTCCCTAGAGCCAGGACGCGTTGTGAACCAGACCGGACCGGTCCAGACAGACGAGAAACCTGGGTCGCCGTTTTACCCCAGACTGTTGGAAAAGCCCCGTTTCCTAGGGATGCTACCAAGTGAAAAAAGACGGCCTCTTGGCGGCACATGGGGAGCACTTGAGCCGACGGTTGGTCGAAGAACATGTCCCAAACAAGGCCCTCGGATCGTGGACGGGAAATGAGGCGCATGTCTAATCCGAGTGTCGCAACTTACAACTAATATGATATATCATACGCACCCCGGAAGACTGCCGATTGACTACTATCCGCGTATCGTGTGTAAGCCAGTCAGCTCAGTAAGACTTGGTCTGGGGCGTGGACGTTGGTGGGATGAGCTAGAGGGCCATCTTGGTCGTCAACACAAGGCCCGACGTGCCAAACTGGGCCACTCTGGAGGCCCGGGATGGACGTGCCCAGCCTGAACACGGCATCTGCGCTCGCCGTCGTGCCCGGGCCAGACTGCCAGATCCAGAGGTGATACAGCCAGGTTATGTGCGTACAAGGTGGTGAGTGCGTCTGCGTCCGCATGCTGCATCTGCACCCTGCAGCACGCTCTCCCACATACTATGTATGCCCACGCCCACGCCCACGCTCACATCCAGCGTATTAGATGCCCCTTCTGCCCTGGTACCGCGTCTGTGTGCGTCTGTGATGCGCCTACTGGCCTACCGTAACAGCGTTCTCGAGCGTGCACCTACGTACACACACAGTAAATGATATATGCATGTTTCTCTGTGCATCTCCATCTGCAGATCGGAGACAGGCGCGTGGAAGAAACAAAAAGTCGAGGCCAGGCAGCCCCAACTGCGGCCGCCACAGGACCCAACACATTGGAATTCCCGCCTGTCACTGACGCGAAAAGTGGGAATTGGCTTCCAAGGTTCAAGCCAGTCACTTTTGGCTCTTCTAGTCAGCCAGCCCGGACCGCCAGCCAGCCCAGCCCGATGCGAAACGGTACCTAGACGTAGACCTCAACTGCAATATACAATACAATATACACCGCCCTCCTCCGGTTGTTCCTCTGTTGTCTCTCCCTGCCCCGCCTTGTTGGCGTCGGGATTAAAGCGCCTCTAGACAAAGCCCTAGAACGCCTGTGTAATCACTAGACAGCATGGCAACGCTGCAATCTTACTCATCTGGGACCCGCCGGCGTGGGCAGGCGTCAGCCTCAAAGAAGGCCCCCGAAGAGCCCCCCCTGCTATCAAAATTTCAAATATCACGCTGCTGCATGTGTTGGTTCGACGGTGGGTGGGATCTCCCTGGCCTTTCTTTTTGCCTGCCCGGGAGAGGAGAGAGAGGCCTGGGGGGGTGGGAGAGCCAACCGGCCCTGGACTGGCCTGCCTCACGATCTGCAGCTGTCTCGATGAGGAAATCTGGATGGCCGGGGGAGCCCTGGCAGGTCCCGGACAGGGCCCTGGGCCCAGCCAAGAGATGCCGGGCGCATATCTATCATACATACAAGGTCCTTTGCCTCCGCTCCACACTTTCCCGCCGTCCATCAGCGAGCAAGCAAGCAAGCATCATTGATCGACCCGGGGTGGTCCTCTTGCGAAGATCTCCCTTGGTGGGAATAACGGAAAATACAAGAAATAGGAATCGCACATCATACCGGTAGGCACGCGGGACCGCGGGGCCTCAGCAGCAGGTAATTACGGAATTGACGCTTCCTGCTTTGCCGTGCAGAACGTGGGCCGTCCAATGAGATGCATGTTCTAAACACACTCAACGGCCGGCCCAGGCCTCTCTCTCTGTGCCCAGACAGATAGACAGACAGCCTTGGGGGGCCTGCCTGCCTACCTACCTGGAAGAAGGTGACCAACAGCGCACTCTGGCGCTCGTATTATGCCGCCGTATGAGCCAGCCAACCAAGAGGAGCCAGCCCCAGGGCCATTCAAGTTCAAGCATGGGGCCCGCCACCGCTTCTTGTTTTCTGTCTTGCAAATGTCTCGATATGCCGTGGTCACGCCGACACCACCCCCGGCCCGGGACACTGCCTGTCGCCTCGTAATGGACGGCGCAGCAGCAGGAATGCCATGGACAGGCAAGAAGGCAGGCAGGCAGGCAGGCAGGCCAAGAGGATCGCATCCAGGCCAGGTATCGCGGTGGATTTAACCCCGATTGTATCATGCACGTATGTACACTTCGCAGCGGGAAGGGTACATGTCAGTCGGTACAGTACGCCTTGTCCAGGCGCAGGTCGTCAAGTCAGCTGCCCCCCCCCCCGACGGTTGCTCAAGACGTGGACGGTAAAACAAATCAAATCCACAAACCCCCCCGTCCACATGCACGAGACAACCTTTGCCGTGCGAGAGACCCCCACACACCCAGGTTCCATCTCTGCCTCTCTCTCTGTGTACCTAAGTAGCTTTCCTGGTGATGACGATCAGCAACAGTAGGTTCGCGCTCCGCCGCGCGCCTCCTCCTCACCCTCTCCACCAAGGCCAACGGCCGGATAGATGCGCAGCTGTAGACAGGCATGCAGACCAGGCAGTGAACACGGACCGCGGTTGCCTTTGCCTCGCCGGAGTGACTTATATCCAGGCGAGTCAAGCAGCCCTCCATGCGCCCTGCTGGTACCTCCTCAAACATCTTGAACGTTGGACTATCGGACCATCGCATCGAGTTCCGACCGAATCCTCATCCATCCAAGGGTCCGTTGCCTGCCGGGAGCCCGCCTGCCCCCCCTTCCCTCCAGTGTCCACCCAAAATCCTCTTACACACGTGTTGTTGAGCGCGTGTAAGTATGGTACCTACCACAGCTTTTGCCCATTTCTATCTACAGAGTACTTTTATTATCCGTACCTGGGTGTCATTCCCAAATTTCATCCATAGTCCGCCCGTAACACAATAATTCATCCCTGGCCCCACGCCCGGCCTGCCCAGGAAGAAGAAAAAAGGCAGCGGGCACCCTGTCACGTCCCGGGCACTCCTGTTACGCTACGTCCCTGGGATCTTGCAGATTAAATCGACACTTGATCACACACAGGCACATGTGCGCTGCGCACACCACACACGCACCCACACACACACACACAGGCACACTAGAGGCTCACAACTCCCGGGGCGGGACGGACAGAGGAAGCCACAGACAGACAGTGCAGGGACAGGCCGACAGGGACGGACGGCCTTGTGAAACCACACCCCTATGGTCCTTGGGACCAGAGACACTGTACATACATACGGATAGATAGCTACAGGAGAGGTACAAGTAGGGCAGGTAGGTGAGGAAGGGAAAAGGGTGCATGTGAAAATAGTAATAGGTGGAAGGGTCCGAAGGAAAGAAGACAGGGGTACTGTAGACTACCAAGGCGTGGGAGCCGGGGTTGGAGGAGAGTTACAACGAGGAGGTACAAGCGAGAAGGGAAGGAGGCGCGCCACCGCGTGTGCACACACACACGCATGCAGGGTGGTTGGCGGCGGACCAGGAGACTGACTTGACTGGTGTGAGAAATAAGAGTGAGTGTGAGAGACAGCGCGAAGAGAGAGAGAGAGAGGACATCGCAACATACATACCACGCCCCCCTCCCCCCCTACTTGTACTAAATAAGCTGCAGACCGCCCACCCTTACATACGACCACCCGGGCACCTTTCTGGACCTGTACACTCGCGGTGGGAACTGTTGCTCTTACACCTCTTGCATCCGCGTCTTGCCGGCTGGATCCCCATCGAGCTTGACTGATATCATTACATTGGACCGACCTCACCTCACCTCACCTCACCTGCTTTCGACTTTCACGTCTACTGCTCTCTCTCATCTTTCACCCTGCCCCACGTCTTGGGAGTTGGTTCCGTGCAGCCTGGTTATTAGTTGCTGGATATCCGCCGTGTGGTCTCGCAGTGTAAGTGATTCCATTATTTTTTATTTTTTTTCTCTTCCATCAAAAGTCCCCCCCGGAAGAAACTACATGGCCCACCTGCCAACTGCACATTGCACACTGCATATCTTCCTCACCTACCCGCCAGACCCGACAGTGAGGGAGTAAGTAGTGAGTGAATGGCAAAAGAAGGGGAGAGCCGTGCGCACTCCCGCTCCCGACCCAAGAACCAAGGAACCCGCCCACTTCCCAAACCCCTGGGGTCCCCACTATAGTTAGCTGACCGGGCCATTTTCCCACACACCCCAGGATCCCAAGCTGTCGGCACGCTGCTGGTCCGAGCTGGGGGTGGCGGGCAAGAAATCGAGAAGCCAACCAAAAAAGAGACTGGACTCGGCCATTGGTGAGACGAGACGAGCAAAAGAGCCGCGGCATTACCCCCCAGAACGGGAATAACGGAGGGGAGAACAGAAGAAGAAGCAGAAAAAAAAGGACGGACCGGGAAGGAGAAGAAGAAGGGGGCGTGGGAAGATTCTCAGAAGAAGAAGAAAGGAAAGAGAGAACCAACCCAGTCGAGAACAAGTAACAACAAAGACGCAAAAGAACGCTGCAGCAAGCAGCCAAGGCGAGAACAAGGAAAGGCGGACAGGAGGGTGGAAACCCCATCAATCAAACCCGGGAACCTAAACCGAAGCAACAAGCAGCAGCAGCAGCAGCAGCAGCAAGACGACGACGCTCGGGGACAAATTACTACCAGACAAAAAAACAACAACAACACCACCACCACCAACAACCCGCCAACAGAAGGAGGCGAACCAGATATCTGGGACCTACCAAGCTTTTTCTGCCCGCCCTATTCTGGATTCTCGAGGTCACCTTTTGCCCCTTCTGGACCCCGGCTTCCTTTTTCGTGGTCTCTTGTTCCCCAGCGAACCGAGCGAAAGAAGCAACATTTGAAGCTGCACGTATTCGGAAGCGTGTTGTTGGTGAGACTGAGACAGGGAGATATCGCCATCTTGATCAATTCCTCTCCACCCTGACAATTAATTCCTCGGGGCAGGACAAGGACCACCAAACAAGGCCCACCAGCAGGACGACTGCAGCTGGTCGGCAGTTGCTATCACGGTGGTATCGATCCTGATTACGATCTGGCAGGGTGTAAAGTGGGTCAAGAACAGCCGGCTTATTGTTGCCTGATTGGGCCGCATATTCGACCCTTGATTCTGTGTGCAGGCTGAAGCGTCGCTACGTACAGATTACTCGTCGAGCAGCGAGGCTGTCCTGTCAGTCAGAGTCGTCTTTGTCTGGTTGGCGTGTCCTGTTGGCCGGATCGATCATCAATCACATCATATTCGAATCAAGCAAAGCACCCACCCAAAAGGAGCCCCTTGACTCGGTTCGGTTATCCGCCTGATCCGACCGGCCGTTATCAGTTTCCGCCTGGGCCTGGGGGGCATGCGATAAGGTGGAAGGGAAGGAAGGAAGGGCCATTGATTGACCCCTCATCCAGACCTGGCCTGCTGCGGCTAGACTGGCTATCAGAGGCAAAGCGGTGCCCACTCTCACCGCCTGGAGCCACACACCACACACCTAGAGCAGGCAGAGCAGGGCCCGCCCACAATGCTTTCGAGCGCGGGGCACCCGCCTATCATGTCGGCACCACACCAGCAGCACCAGCACCAGCACCACTACCAAAACGGTCATGGTCATGGTCCTGCCCACGGTTATGGCCAAAACGCTCACAGCCTGTCGCTGCACCACCAACACAGTCACAACCAGAGTCACAACCACAACCACCACAACCCCCCGTCCAGCCCTGCCACGAGCAACAGCAACCTCCTCCACCACGGCCAGCAACTGAGGCCGTCGCCGCTGTCGTCCCGGGACAACCTGCCGCGGGACCTGCAGCACGTCAACGCGGTGCAGGCGGTCAACACGCACTACTCGTGCCCCAACCCCCCGCCGCCGGCGCACTCGCACTCGCCCTACTCGCCGTCGAGCTCGAGCCTCCCCACCAGCAGCAACAACAACAGCCTCAGCAGCCTGAGCCTCAACCTGAACCTCGTCTCCAACTCGAGCTCCTCCAACGACCTGACCACCCCGAGCGCCGCGGCCACCCCGACCCACCCGACCTCCAACAACAACACCCACAAGAATCACAACCACAAGCAGGGCCACCAGTCGTCACCACCAAACAGCCTCTCCCTGGCCCACCACGCACACCAGCAACACACGGCCAGCCACCACCACTCGTACTCGCTCTCGCACCCTCCTCCCCCCCACTCCCAGCAGCACAGGCTGAGGCGCGTGCCCAACCTGCCCGAGCACCAGCACCAGCACCGCCGGTCGGGGAGCCTCACCACCATCACAAGCTCCCTCCCGAACAACCCCTCCTCGCATGCCTCGAACCCCTCGAACCCCTCGAACCCAACCGCCATGCCCTCGATAAACGCCATCGCCGCCGGCCCCGGCCCCTCCCGCGGCCCTGCTGGTGGCCCTGGCCCAGGCGGGGGCCCCAATGGTGGTGGTGCTGCTGGTGGTTCTGGTGGTGGTGGTTCTGCCGCCGCTGCTGGTGGTGGTGGCTCACAGGCTCACTTTGATGGCCCCAGGAGTCCTCCAAGTCAGTGCACACGCCCTTTGGTCTCTCGACGTTGCGACCGGTCAATTCCTCCTCCTCCTCCTCACCAATTGCCTGCAGAATTTTACTGCCTGACCCTCAATTGACTTCTGGCTGACTCGATACCCTTCTGTCCGTAGACACGTCCCACGTGCCCTGCAAATTCTTCCGACAGGGTGCCTGTCAAGCAGGCGCCGCCTGCCCTTTCAGCCACGACCTGGGCGCATCCGCCGAGAATGTCTGCAAGTACTTTGCCAAGGTTCGACCGCCTCTTTCCTTGAAGAACGCAACACACGGCAGGATACTGACATGCCCACCACAGGGAAACTGCAAATTCGGCCCAAAGTGCGCAAACATCCACGTCCTCCCCGACGGGAGGCGTGTCAACTACGGCAAGAATGGCGTCACCGTCACCCCGCTCAACTTCGGCAGCCGCCTCAACCCTCTCGCCTACGGCCACCAGGCCTCCAACTCGGCCCTGACCACCTCCTTCATGCGCGCCGAGGCCGCCCCTCCCTACACCACCTACGCCGCCGCCACCTCGGACGACCGCTATGGCCTGGGGAGGCAGGCCAGCATGGAGAACGGCCTGCCCACCATCGACACCCAGTACAGCGGCCCCGCCTCCCCCTACGGCTCCCCACACGCCGCCGAGGATGCCATCCGCACCGGCTTCGGCCTGTCCCCCATCGCCGCCAACAAGGGCCTCTCCGTCCTCGACGCCCCCCTGCCTGCCTCCTTCGACAGCAACGGCATCTCCCACGCCGCTCGCTACGGCCCCTGGCCCGCCTCCGTCCCTAACAAGTTCGGCCTCGAGTCCCCGACCCCGTCCCTCAGCAACGCCAAGGACAGCCGCACCTCCGAGACCCTGAAGATGCTGCACACCTCTGCTTTTGGGTCCAACGAGCACCTGTCGCCCAGCCACCTCGGCGGCGACGTCGACGCCATGGGCAGCAGCCCGCCCATGCAGCCCATCGGCGAGGAGTTCTACGGGCGGCGCGCTATGCACAGCAGCTCCAGCAAGTACACCAAGCCCAGGCTCCTGAGCGCCAGCGTGCCAAAGGTCGACCGCGACTGGGAGGAAAACTTCCTCTTCCTCGAGGAAGACTACGTGCCCGGCGAGCTGGCCAACGAGGTGCTCACGCCCGCCGAGAAGGCCCGCAGGGGCAGCATGAGGGTGACCGACGGAGGGTCGGAGCAGCACTCGGGCGAGAACTCTGCCTCTAAGTACGGCAGCCCGATTGGCGCATCCAGTCCGAGCCGGTGGGGACCCCTGTTCGAGCGACAGAAGCAGGAGGACGGCGGCCAGTCAGCCCTCGGCCGGAGCCTTAAGAGCGCCGGTGCCTTTGGCCACGTTGGCAGCCCCCTCCGCAACTCGAGCCTCGCCAACGGCATCGGCATGATCGGCAGCCTGAACGGCAACAGCAGCAGGCCGAGCCTTGCTGGCAGCCGGACCGCCAGCGGCGGGAACGACAGTCTTTCGGCCCTGACCCAGCAGATCCAGAACACGAGAATCAACGACGAGAGGACCACGAGCCTGTCGTCTAGCCCACGTCTCCATCCAGGCAGCGCGGCGAACTCCAGGCAACAGAGTGCCATCGGGGCGCACCCCAGCACCGGCGCAATTGGGTCCTCGAACGGCCGGAGCGAGAGAGACCAGCGGGCCCTCGAGAGACACATCAGCAGCGGGTCCATTGGTTCCAGCGCCAACGGCAGGTTTACGACCCCGATCGATGAGGAGGACCCGAGCTTCGTGTTCAGCATGGAGGACGACGACGACGGCCAGAAGGCCAGGAAGCGCATGTCGGGCGGGTTTGGCCTGGGCGGAGGAGGCGGCTGGAGTTATGCCGCCGCTGCGACGGGCAAGACCTCCGCCGGCGCCAACAAGGGCTCTGTCGTCGAGACCCGCTGAACCAAGCAAGCAAGCCATCCTCACTGATGTGATTGCTCAACACACGGCGATGCCACGACGCCTCGTGGCCTTCTTTTTGACGAGACACGACATGACGGGAACGGTCACGGGTTCATGTCCACCACCTCTACCTGCCTACCTGCCACTACGTCTTTCAACCTGCTTCGGATTTACGGTTTCTAAGCGGCGCGTGCCGACGCCTGCCATGGGATGACGAATCGAATGGAGCATGGATGGGATGACTGTGATGTCTGAGGAGGCTCAACATTGAAGCCCGGGAGGCAGACCGGGTCAGTCCTTGACGAGTTCAGGTCAAGATCCGTGAGCCTCATGGGCCGGCCGTCCACGGCGGAACCCGGTACTCGTGTACAAAACCTGCACCGTGGCCCGCGTCCCGCCTTGTCCAGAATGAATAGGGAGATCCACACCACCAGGTATGGAATGTTGGTGACCTACCCGACCTAGGACACAATGTCGAACCCGGGAAGAGTTTCTATCTACCCAACAGGCGAAAAAGAAAAAATCAAAATAGGGGAGCGCGAAAACAAAAATACCGGCATGGAGATTGGACAACCAAAAGAAACGGCGCGATACACGAGGGGAATACGGATGAGGATGGACAGACCGGACGGTCTGGGCGTTTCTGATGATTTGTTTCGTTCTTCTTCTTCCTCATTGCGTTTTTTTCTCTTTCTCCTTCCCCTCGCTGCAATGGCTGGCGATACACGCACGCATCACAAACAACAACCCACAATCCTGGAGTTCAACAACCAACTCTATGGGCACATCGCATCGCGTCTTGACTCACCCACGCCGCCCACAACCAACCGCTACCGGCACCTGTCGCTAATTATCTGTCGATATCCACCCACCTACCAACCTACCAACCTGCCTGCGTACCTCCTACCATCCCTGGTCGGCCGAGAGCAGCAAATCACGGTTATACCAAGCCACACCAGGCCACGAGGGGGACGCCGTCGCCTTCTGAATGATGCTGTCTGTTTCTGATTCCTCTCTGGGCTTCTTCTTCTCTTCACCCCACCCCGCTCATCTCATCTCATCCATCTCCTCGGCCTGAGTCTACGCTATCTACCCATCTTTGGCTCGGCTGGCTGCCTTGTCTCGGCCTGGCCTGGCCCGGCTCGGGTCGGGTTCTTGTCGTCTCCCCCCCCCCGCCGCCGCCCCACGTACGCATTCACGCATAGAACATGAAAAGTGTCTAGTACGATTGGTTACCTGGTTTCTTTTGGATTTCTGTTGTTGTTTTCTAAATCTTTTTTTTTATGCTTGCCAGTTCCCGCTTTTTTATCGTTCCTGTTCTCGTCCGTCTAGCTTTCTGCTTGTTTGTCGTTTTCTTCATCATATCCCATCCATCCATGGCATGTTGGCGTTTTGTTGTTGTTGTTGTTTTTGTTCCTCTGCGTCAGTCGATTTTACCCACCCATGTTGTTACTTGGTTGATTAAGTATCTACGGGAGGAATCGATAGGCCAGGTACCCTTGAATGGACCCTCTTGACACTGTTTGGTCTGATGTCTGACTTGTGTTGGGGGGTGGGGAGGTGTATGTCTGTCTTTGTATGTCTGTCTTGATTGGATGGAGAAACCAGGCCCCATCCGGGTGGCATTTTGGCCTTTTTTGGCTGGCTGGGTGGTTGGATTGGATTGGATACATACATACATATGTCTGACTTGGGTCGGCTGTCTTTCTTCACCTCTTGAGTTGGAAGGTAGCAGGGTAGTTAGTTATGATCATAGTTGGCCCCTTTTCCTTCTCTCCTGGGGAGGGAGGGGGTGGGGGTTGTGAATATGAGTGAGACGGGGGATTTGAATGGCTGAGTTATTTGACTGACTTACTGAGTGACTGATTGACTGACTGATTGACTGACTGACTGACTGACTGACTGACTGGTATTTGAGATGAGATTTGCTGCTGCTGCTGCTACTGTGTGTGATGTGATGTGGATGTCGAGTGGATGTGGGATACTGTGGACATGAGGTGTGCTGTGGGTGTTTTGGGTATCCCTTTCTGGGGATTTGCTGCCTGGTTCAGCCTTGATTATAGCACAACCTGAGGTGTGAAAGATTGGAACTTTCCAGCCAAGTATGGCATTTCTTTGTGATAGTTTGGCAACTATCTGACTTCTTTGACAGTGCGAGAAAAATGAATGAGGATTCCTATTCCCTAAGGCTATCGCTCCGTGTGTCCACCATATAAAAAGGAGCGAGAGACAACAAAACTTCCAGGTCTAAATGTTTCCGTGCTAGCCATCCCTCGACACTTTCCCATCCACGAACCAAGTCGGAAATCCTCTGCGTCGTAGTAAGTAGGCTGGCTACAGCTGACTTGAACCCTGCTCCTTGCCCGACTACATTTGTGACATGCTAATATGAGCAGACACGAACGTCCACAACATGCAGGCGCCACCACCAACAGAGAGGGTTGATATGAGACATCCGGATGGCGGTGAGTACACCTGCAGACCCAAAAGAAAAAGGGGTTTGTCATGTAGTAGGTCATGTTAACAGTTTCAACCAAAAAACAGGTCCCTTCGGCCAGGTCTTCGCCGGTGAGAACCACACCAAGCTGCCCGCGCCCGAGCTCCTCCGCGTCCAGGCGCAGCAGCTCGAGAAGGCCCGAGGCCTCGGCTACAGCCCAAAAACAAAAGCAGGACAGGGAGATGATACAGTAGCAGCAGCAGCAGCAGGAGGAGGAGGAGGAGAAGGAGGAGGAGGTTTCTACGGGGCAGCATTCCTGAGCCTCGGCCGGTTCAGCGAGGATCCCGAATACGGCCCGGGAACAAAGTTCCACGATTATGTGTTACAGCGCCTCGTCGATGCCGCCGAGGCATCGCGGGACCTCCCCGAGTTCCTGCACGCCCTGAACCCAGGTGTTACATGCAGAAAGACAGAGACGGGGCAGGAGGGCCGCTTCTCCTGGGAGGTGTACTACGGCGGGGTGATCAGGATGTACCCGGGCCCCGGACCGATCTGCGCCAAGATATTTGTCGATTTCTTCATCTCGGTAGGTGGATGAGATCCCCATCATGAATAATAGCCCGTATATGTGTATGGGTCCACTAATCAGATGCTGTGGCTTTCAGAACGTTGAAGGCGACTGGGACAACGCCGAGGGGGAACAGGCCTGGTGGGATGACGAGCTGGAGAACGAGGGGGGGGATGCTGAGGGAGGGAAAGCTCTGGCTGAGGATGGGGTAGAGAGCGAGGACGAGGTAGAGAGCGAGGTGGATTTTGAGATGCTCTCAGCATTGAGGGAGGTGTTTATCAAGGCGTGCGGAGACAGTAAGCGACTCGGCTAGCGGGAAAGGTCCTGGGCAACCTCACCTACACAAGTCTGAGGGACCTGTGCTTTTTGCTTTTGGCAGGGCAGTGTGTGTTGGTCGACGGTGAAGAAGGCCCGGCGGGGAAGAGGAACGAGAAGAAGAAGGGGGCGCCTGAGCCCAGGCGCCAGCTGTCAAGCCCATGCTTGCTTGAGTCTGACGCCAGGGGCGTCCCATTCTTCATGCACCGTGAGTCTGTGTGTACTTGAGCGCATATTCAGTGGGCGAGCAGTTGACGAGGGCGTGAAAGCACGAGCGTATCTGACCCAAAGTGAAAAAGGCGTCGCGTGTCTATCTATCTCTGGCGGAAGCAACCCCACGGAGACTGGGGGGGAATCATGTGCCGGGATGACCTACCTCCCTACAACTAATATTCAATAGAACAACGACAGTCGGTGCTCGTGTGGAGCTCGAGAATGAGCTTTGGTGATGAAGACCTGGCCAGCGGGCAGCAGCAGCATGCCCCATCCTTTATGAAATCCAGCTCTGTTGTATTCCGAGTTGGATTGCAAAGAAGCAGATACCTCGGCCGTACGATAAAAGAAGAATGGGAATTCTCTGTGCTAAAAAACGATTCGGGCCATTTGCCCAGTGCTCATCTCAAACAAAGACAGGAAGAGAAGCAGTATCTCGTGTACCTCTCATTTCACGTGGGTGTAGTATTCTGCAGGAGTTACGATATACCGAGAAGAGTTTTAGAATCAGAATGCTCACATTGAATCTAGCCAGCCTCACCATGCCAGATATACAGCGGGGAGTGATGTACAACCATGGACAGTGTCTACATTTGTGGGTGAGACAACGGCAGATGGACTTTGCGACTCATTTCTATACCAGTTATGGGGCGGATTTGTACATAGATCCATTTTCCTCAGAATTGTACTGGGAAACCACCAAGTGCCTGCTAGTGTGCGATACATCAATGCCCTGTCCTATATACCAGCAATTGAGTTTGAGTACTTGGACGGGGCAATATAACTTATGCAGCCTCGGCACCGAGCTCGGCAAAACCTGTCCACACAGACCGACCGAACCCCCGCTATCGGCCGAGCTTGAGGTTTTCGGTTAGGAGGGAATGACGCAGGGAAAGTTTAGCTGGTCCTGTCTTTTTCCTCTGCCCACAACGAACGAACCACACGCGTGCGACGGTAATCAACCGAACCAATTCGACCGCCGCACCGCAGCCCCTTTGTGCAGCCTCGCCCCCCCTCCGTCTGAATTAATCTGGGCGCGTTCCGGAGCCAGCAACAAGCAAGGACCGCCTCCCCACGATCGGTGCGCGAACGCTTCTGCTGCTGCTGCTGCTGCTGCGCGAACGCGACAGGGACACCAGCCTGCCAGCCCACAACCTGCTTCGCACCGACAGGCGGACCGACCAATGGCCTCGGTAGCTGCGGCCACGGCCCCGGTGGCCAAGGGGGACTCTGCGGCGCCGCCGTCGCCGTCGCCGTCGGGGGAGAAGAAGCTGCCGCCGCCCAGCCCGCTGCGGTCGATCCTGGCGGGGAGTCTGGCTGGTGGCATTGAGATTTGTGCGGCCCTCTTTTCTGCCCGGACAGGAATATCATACAAGGACCGTCTTGGCTAACGTGGTTCCCCATTGACAGCAATCACATACCCTGCAGAGTGTACGCCGACCCCTCATCCTCCCCACCGTGGATCCTCGACCCTCCCGAGCTCCCATCTTTCTGTCTACCCAGCCCGGTCCGAACCCCTCGAGCCGATGGATGGGGTTGTCGTGGGAGCGGGCTGGCTGGCGCACATCCGGGAGTAGTATGATGGGGAACAGAGGCTGACGGTCCATCTTACAGTCGCCAAGACGAGAACACAGCTGAACCGCCGGCTGGCCGCGGGCGAGAAGCTCCCATGGCCGCCATTCGGCCCGCAGTGGTACGCCGGGTGCACGACGCTCATCATCGGCAACTCGGCCAAGGCTGGAATCCGTACGTTGCCCTCTATCGCAGTGTGGCGTCGACTGGCACACATGTCCCTGTCTGGTCGGGGCAGCGGGCAAGGAGCACCTGGGCTAACCACGAGCATCCAGGATTCGTCGCCTTTGACCAGTACAAGCGCCTCCTCGCCGACGCCGAGGGCAAGGTCTCGGGCCCCCGTGCGGCGCTGGCTGGCTTCGCGGCTGGTGTGACCGAGAGCCTGCTGGCCGTCACGCCGACGGAGAGCATCAAGACGCAGCTGTATGTCTGCCCCCATCCATAACCACAGTCAACGCACACGTCCAACCCAACCCAACCCAACCCACTGACAGGACGAACCCCACACCAGCATCGACGACCGCAAGCGCGCCCAGCCCCGGATGCGCGGCTTCCTCCACGCGGTGCCCATAATCGCGCGCGAGCGCGGCATCCAGGGCTTCTTCGCGGGCTTCGTGCCGACGACGGCGCGGCAGGCGGCCAACAGCGCGGTGCGGTTCGGGTCGTACAACTTCCTCAAGCAGGCGGCGCAGTCGTACGCGGCGCCGGGCGAGAAGCTGTCCACGCCCGCGACGTTCGGCATCGGCGCGCTGGCGGGGCTCATCACGGTGCTGGTGACGCAGCCGCTGGACACGGTCAAGACGCGGATGCAGAGCCTCGAGGCGCGGCGCGACTACGGCAACAGCCTGCGGTGCGCGGGCATGATCTTCCGGCAGGAGGGGGTCCTGACGTTCTGGAGCGGGGTGCTGCCCCGGCTTGCGCGGTTGGTCATGAGCGGGGCTATTGTCTTTACCATGTATGAGAAGAGCATGGAGGCTTTCGACCGGGTTGATCCGGAGAGGAAGTATCTGTGAGGGAGGAGGGGGGTCGGGCATCCTCTGGTGGCAGATGATAGGGCACCCTTTGCTATGGACGGCTGGTGTATAAGATGAGTAGAGTTGGGAGGGGCTTTGATATAGAGGTGCTGGGTGTGTACAGCACTGTGCGTGCGGTACACTACAGAGCATGTTCGCTTATATACAGGACCGTGCAATCGATACCACGACACCAGCCCCAGCCATGCTTCCACGACGACCTTTCCTCGAGCGTATATACACGCACGCACGCCCCTGACCCGGTACTGTGGCCGCTGTTCCTTGGAACTGCCGCCTCTTCTCATCTTTTACCACCAGGCTGTCATCACCCCAGACCAACGGGGGACGCCCGTCCCCTCACTGCCACCGGAACATCCCCCTCAGCTTGAGCCCGACCCTCTGGGCCCAGGACCTCGTCGGCGCGGCGTCGAGGTCGCGCACCAGGTCGTCGTAGTAGGTGGGGTTGCTGCGGGGCCTGAGCATGCCGCCCGTGGCGGAGTCGGGGGTCGGGTCGGCCGGGTAGGTGGTGAGGTACCTGTTTGAGAGGAGGGAGAGGACGGCGTTGACCTGTGCCGCCGCGGCGGTTTCTGGGGTGTTGTTGTCGTCGGGCCCGGGGAACCTGTTGGACCCGGCCAGGCGCCTCGAGAGGACGTCCTGGAGCTGGCAGGTCGGGCGGAGGGGGTCTTTGGGCCAGGCTGCGAGGGCTTTTGTGTATGTGCGGCGGAGGGCCTGTGTTTTTTGGTCAGTTGGATGGTTGTGTTGTGTCTTTTTTTGTTCTTCTTTTCTGAGGGTGGCAGTTGGCTGGTGGTTAAGGGATGATGCATACCTCCTTGGTTGCCATCTTGATGGCGCGTTGTTGTGTCTGGCTGGCAGGCTGTGGTGTTGTCGAGGTTATGTTGTGGCCATCGAACTCGGGTCGGATACCGTGTAGAATAATTATTTCTCGGCCCTCGACGGCGACGTCAGTCGGGTCAGTCAGCCAGTCAGTCAGTCAATCAATGACAGGCACAGAAAAAGATGCGCTGGCGCTGTCATTGGCTCGGCTTATTCCCGCCCAAGACATGCTGCGTTGGGCTTAGGGGCCTTGGAAGGGAAAAGTAAAAAGGACCCTTGGCGCAGGGGGGGCCTGTTACTGTGCAACTGTGGCATGAGGGAAATGAGCCCTGGGTGCCACTTGCCTCTAACAGCTACTACTCACAGTGTTGGCAGGTGCCAGAGTGGCTGAGCAGGCAGGGCTGGCAGGCAGGCAGGCAGGCAGAGGCAGGGTCAGCAGGCATAGGCCTCATGCTGTTACAGTTACAGCTGGTTGGGTGCTCCGTACTGCCGGCCCGCCCCTGATTGATTGATCATCCCTCCCCGACCCGATCCCTAATCAATGTGCCATCTCCTTCTCCGTTTATCTAGTGCCTACCGACTGTGTGCCCGTGCCTTTGCCTGTGCCACTAACTACTCCTCCTTTTCCGACCCAACCTCGTGCACTCGTGCACTCCCACTCGTGCACTCGTCTAGTCCACCTCGTGCTAGCCTTGGACTGCCGACATTCTCCCATTGCCCATTCCAGTTTCCAGTTCCCAATTCCCACCTTGTCAAATTCCAACCATCGACCCTCCAACCCCATCGACAATATTGACGACGACCACGACGATCCTTCCCTAAATTCTCCTTTTCCGACCTGGTCCTTTTTGTTTACTCTCTTTTTCCTGGTGCTCCTCCTGCGACGACCAACCTTAGAACCCGACCTGCATTTCCCTCCCCCTCGAGGCCTATTTCTGCATCGCCCATCGCCCATTGCGCAAAGCATCTGACCTTCTCTCGCATCATCTGCCTGTTCCGACCAACCAAGCAGGCCCTCCTCCACTTGTCCCGGTCCCGGCAGAACACTCCAGAACCGCACCATTTGAGTTGCCCCGATCATCGAATCAACTCCGTCATCCGCCATCCAACCGCCGACGCATTTCATTGTCACCTACGACATTACCACCTAATCGCTCCTTGCTTCTACTTTCTTTTGGAATTTGAATCATCGACCGGCGTCATGTCGGGCCGATACGAAAGGGTAAGTCATCAATCATGGCCATCCAGAGGCCACAACATCACCGACAACACACACCACGATCATCATCGATCGTCATCACCATCTCGCTTGATCACAAATGCACACAAATGCACTAACACCAGCTGTGACTGCCAGGTTAACGCCCAGGACGAGGACGACGCCCCCTCGCCCATCGCCGTCTCCAGGAACACCCGCTCGTCCCAGCCAAACTCGCCTCCCCCATCGTTCCACTCCAGAGCCTCGTCCGTCGCACCACGGAACCGCTCCGTCCAGGACCCCACCCTCGCCGATGCCTTCGACGCCGACGACTCAGACAGCGATGACGAGCCCGACGACCGCCAACGCCTGGTGAGGCAGAACACAGACCCCGTCCAGTCCAGCAGCAGCAGCGGCGCCGCCCCCTACTCCCCAGCCGGCTCCGCGAGCACCCCGCAGCCCCCACAGCCCCCACGGCACCAGCAGTCGCCATCATCGGCGGCGGCGGCAGCAGCGGCGGCGACGAGCTCGAATCGCGTGTTCGGCAGCGGCATCCAGAATGAGGGCGTCTTCTCCAACCTGACTGCCAAGCCCGAGAGAGGGGGCACGGAGAAGGAGGAAATGCCTCCGGTACGTCTTGGCTCACACCATCCATCCATCCATCCATCCCAGCCCCTCACAGCACGTCGTGTCACACTCCAAGAAAAGAAAAGCAGTTTGCTAACCACAGGTTTGCGTCACACAGACCTACGAACAAGCAGCAGCCGACTCAGCACCGCCCTACTGGGAGACGACCATCCTGGCGCCCGGCCTCGGCGGCGCCGACGACGTCTACATCGACGGCATGCCCGTCGGCTCCGTCTTCTCCTTCGTGTGGAACGGCATGATCTCCATGTCCTTCCAGCTCGTCGGCTTCCTGCTCACCTACCTGCTGCACTCCACCCACGCCGCCAAGAACGGGTCCCGGGCCGGCCTGGGCATAACCCTCATCCAGTACGGCTTCTACATGAAGGGGAGCAGCGGCAATGGGTCAGGCGGCGGCATGGGCGGCGACGACGGGCCCGGTGGTGGTGGGGATGCCGGGTTCGCGAGCCCGCCGGACCCGAACGCGCATGATTTCGACCCGAATACCGTCGCGAGCAGCGCTGGCGGCGGCGGTGGGTCGGGCGGCCTGTCGGACGTGGCGAGCTCGGAGTGGGTCGCGTACATCTTGATGATTGTCGGGTGGTTCATCCTCATCCGGTCCGTCAGCGACTACCTGCGGGCGCGGCGGCACGAGCAGCTCGTGCTGCAGAGCCCGGACCGCGGGCTGGGCGTGGCCATCATCGCCGAGGGCGAGAGCTCCGAGCGGGTTGTTTGAGCTGGGGAGGGGTGGACTATTACTGTCTCTGTTTTTTTGGGTCCCCTGGGGGTTGTTTTCTATATCGCAACACTGCAAAAGGGCATGTGTGGTGGGATGGGATGGGATGGGATGGGATGGGCGGAATCAGTGTTTATACCAGTTGACGTTGAACCCGGGAGGTGGTGTGTGTGAAGCATCAATGATGAGCGACGCGTTCTGCTCTCTCTTTTTTTTTTTTTTTTTTTTTTTGGTCCTCTCTTTCCTTTCTGTCATGATCAGCGGAGAAGAGGGGCATACTAGGAGCGCAGGCAGTATTCACAGAGCATAAGCTGCGCCCTTGTTTTTTACCCACCCGTTTTCGTACTCCACAGGGCCATGGATGCCGTCCGTGGATGGACGGGGCGGGGGAGGGGGGAGAAGGAGGTCTCTATTAAGGTAAACTTTGCTGCTGTTGCGCAGGTGTGTTGTGTTGTTTATTACTCGCCCGTCTGCCCGCCCACCCGCCTGTATATACCGTATATACCATGCCATGCCATGCCACAGACAGACACACACACACACACACAGACCATGCGGATATTGTACGGTCGTTGGTGATGCCCGTGGCATTTACCACATGACGCAACATGCACGAGCCTAGATTTGGATTTCTTACTATATTGATTGACCTTGCGCCTGTCTGTCTCTCTGTCTATCTCTCTGTCTCTCTATCTGTCTCTCTGTCTGTCTCTCTGTCTGTCTCTCTGTCTGTCTCTCTGTCTGTCTCTCTGTCTATTTGCCAAGCCCTTGCCCTTTCGTCTTTCGAATCACCAGCGATGTGTGTGGCTTCCTATGGGAGGGCAGGGGAGGGGAGGGGAGGTCATCCCGCACGAGCTTATTCTCGTAACCCCAGAGGTGTGTACGGACCAGTGGGGACCGCCGCCCAGGTTGTGGTTCAGTACCAACCGGCAGTGAGTGTGACATGATGTACGGATAGCTGGCCGCATAGCGGATGCGGAGCAACGAAACAGACTCGTCACTTATTGGCGGTCCTGCTTGGGAAGCCGCCTCTCCTATGCGCTGTAGGCACAGGTGACGTTCTGTTCTGTAGGATACACCAGATCTGGTTGTGCTTTTCGTGCGGGTGACTGACTTGACCGGGTGGGTGAACTGACTCGAGTTCGAACCCGGCTGCCACTGTGACATCATGGCCGGCGGCAAAAAGGTGCCAAGGAGACGGGGCGGGTTATGCTTGCTATGCTATGCTGGTTGGTTCATTTGTCCGGGGGGGGGGTGTGAGAGGGAGACACGTCACGGCTGGATATGCTGGTTGTCCTGCAGTGGCCCTCAGCCTGTGGACGTTGGTTGTGGGATGTGGGATCTGAAATGATAGAGAACATGCCAGTGATGAGTGCCGCTGCGGCTTGCAACGGGGCTTTTTTGGGGGGGTGGCGGGCGGGTACTGGGTTTGGGTATTGTGGTCCGTGTATTGTCGGGGGGTTTTGGGGCCTTGGCGGGGGGTTTAATCACCGCGATTACGAGGCTTGTTAGGCCCCCGGGGGCTCTTGTGTGAGTTGCTGTGGGGTGCGGGTTTGGGTTGGATGGGGGACGACGATCTCCCGCCCGCTGGCCCTTTTTTGGGTGTGATGCATGTGCGTTGACGGCCTGACTCACGGCTTGCAACATTGTGTTACATTACTACAGAACTGATAAGCGTTGTTGGTCCCTTGTTAAGATTGTGCCTCATATTATATACCTTGTCTGAGTTCTACTGTGGTGTATCTCTCAAGCTATAGTCATGTCTCGTCTGCTCTTGTGAAATCCTAATGACGCTGTAAGTCGTTGGTTCTTGACTCATAGGTGGTTGCAAACTGTGAAGTGGCTGTATTTAGAAGTTGTGTAATTGGAAGACTGTGTAGAAAGCGGGTGTAGTTACACCACATGTGCAATCCCCTTGCACACGCTTCACAAGCTTCCGAGGTTTCGGCTGCTGCTGAAACTCAAAAATGTGCCGGGATGCTCAACGTTTTCTACCAAGTTGCCCCCCTGGATGGTTGCAAAACGGCTCCAGAGATCACTGGTCCACCGTGTGCGTGTCTGCCCGGCATCAACATCCGATTAAGGAGACTGGGACTTGTGTGATGTGGCTGGCGGTGATATCCAAGAAGGTCCGCTCCGAGACGGTGAGGGTGGAAGATGAGTTCGATTTGGCAGCTGGTGACGAAGTAGCTGACCGTGCTGGCTGATGAATCCGCTCTTTACGGTTCTGATGCGGAATTGTTGTCAGTTGAGGTAGGCCTTTGTCTGAGAGGGCAAGAATGACACATTTCTTTCCGCGGTCCCCTCATCCTCACGGGGGACAGATAGAGGCCCAACACATCGCAATATTTGAAGCATCCTCGTTCCAGAGTCACTGCGTAGCCGATGGAGTTGAGACCGGGTCCCCCCTGAGCGCGGTATGGCTGGCATAAATCAATCCCAATGTCCGCTGAACGTCCGCAATTATTGTGTGGTGTCTGCAGTGAGGAGGGCATCCTCATTCAGATTTTCCAGAGCAAACATCTTGATGGACGTCTCTTGTCTTCTGGGAACTATGTCTGCCAGCTCGTTGACCAGGGAGATCGAGAACACCTTGTTGAGCATAAGGTCGAGGCCTGAATCGGTCTCGACTGCGGCGCACCCAATGACTAGCAACTATCCTCTTTCATTGTCACAAAGATATTATCTATCAAAGCAACATGCTTTGGACATAAGTGACATACAGAATTTATGCAGCTGTTTTTGTTGTGTTTGGTAGTGGAAGAAAAAGCATTTGAGAATGCCATGGTAGACTTGGGCAGTGAACAAACTTCTGCCATGAAGAATAATTTGAGTGTGCTGGTGTTCGCGGTGGCCTGTTGGCACTAGATGCTTTGAGGAACTGCATGCTAATTTACAGCAGAACTTTCAGGCGTGGTGTAAGCCTTGTTCCGTATTATCATCTTGTCATCATCAGTTATTTATTTCCTTCTTCCGGTACCGAGCGGACGACAGCAAGCCTTGGTCGACATCTGCGCACATTTTTCATGCCCTGGTGCGACAGTCATGCTATTCTCGTCAAAGCTACAGTATATCCGGCCCTGGAAGTCTAGTCTCTTTTCTTAATCCGAGGAAAACAGAGCCACACTATAGAAACCACAGCAATAAGCGCTAGGATGATAGGTTGCAGTACACCAACGCCCCTGCTGGCCGCGATCGCCCCGATGATAAAGGGGAACACAGTGCCGCCGGTGCCACCAATGGCCATGGCAAAACCTATAGCACTGACGTGGATGTGCTTCGGGAGTAGTTTTGCCGTCATCATCACAGCGCCGGGGAACATGGGCCCTAAGAAGAACCCCAGGAAGGCCACGGCGATGGCCGAGACGATGAACTGGGGCACGAGCCAGAAGATCAGCTGCAGGGCGATGCAAAAGGCCAGGTAGATGGTGATGCAGAGCCTCTCGCCGTATCGCTCAGTCACGAAGCCGAGGCCCGCCCGGCCGACTGCTTGCCCGGCCCAGAACCCGGTGGCGGAGATGCCAGAGGCGTAGGCTGATGCCTTGCGGACCCGCAGCATGAAGGTGACGATCCAGCCCCCGAGGCCGACTGTTGGCAAAAGTCAGTTGCGGGAATTCATTGACCACATCAGCGTCATCGATCTCACCTTCAACACCCAGATATGCGAAGAAAAACAGGGAGCAGAGCCAGGTGACCTTCGACTTGAGGGCAGCCCTGGTGCCGGCGCCGCCGTCTTGACTCTCTCGCGCGTGCTCGGCTCGATAGACCGCACCGGTCATTTGCCAAAAGGTGATAGTGAGTCCGACCCACTCAACCACGGCCATGCCGATCTAGAAACAAATCGATGAGCATTGGGCTCCTCTGTTTCATTGCGAGGTATTATTGTTTCTTACCATCAGGTAGTAGTAGTTGTACCACGGCAGCTCCGCCTTGACGACCATGGACGTCGCGATGAGCGGCGAAATGAGAGCCCCGACCGAGTAAAACGCATGCAGGAAGCCCTGTATGGTGTTCGCCTTGTCCATGACGCCGATCCAGGCGCAAAAGCAGGCGTCCGTCAGGCCGTTGCCGAACCCGCTGATCGTGTTGGCCACGACGAGCACGGGGTAGGGCGGGTGGAGCGCCAGGATGATGTACGTGATGATGTGGCAGAGAGGTGCCATGATCGCGACGCCTCGCCGCCCAAACCTCTGGTGGATCCGGGCGTTGGTGAAGGCCGCGACGGAATAACCAGCGAAAGGGGTCAGGAAGATGAGGGAGACTATCGTGTAGCTGAGGTCATAGTAGGTTTCGAGCTTCTCAGCTGTCAGACATGGCGATATCAACATGCACCGGGGAACAAGGTACGTCACTTACATATGGGATCAGAGCCTACAGAATCTGTCAGCGAATACATGCCTATCTATCGATGGCCAAGATATGACGTACTCCGACTGCGGCGTCGTTCATTCCTGCGATGATGAAAGACAAGCAAGCAAATACGAGCCTGCCAGTGTTGGACCTGGGCCAGTTCCACCGCTCGACTTCGACGTGGGTATTCGGCGGCGGGATGCCATCCACGCCCTTCGAGCCAGTCGACTGGTGTTCTTCAGGCCCATTCTTCTTCTCGGGCAAGACGCCATAAAGGTCGTACCCTTCCGAGCTGGGGGCTTCTAGTCGCGTCTCAGTGCAGGTCTGCGTTTTCGACTGTGCCATGGTGAAGGGGGTATGAATATGTGTAATCCCTCAAAACAAGACCTACCAACACGACAACCTGCGGGTCAATAGAATGGTAGGTAGTCTACTCAGGGATTTGTCATGTGTGGCAGAGGATAGGTCACCGGCCCGGTTAGCGGGATTGGGCAGCTCTGAACGGGCAAGGCGCCCCGCGGATTTGTTCGCTGCACCTTTTGTTGATCGCCAACTGAACTCGCCCGTGCGCAATTTACCATTCCTGTGTGTGGCCTTCTATCGGTGCATTCCGACCTCTAGTAAATATTTGTTTTCTTCTTGCTTTCAGTCACGGGTTTCACGTTGTAATGCGCATTTATGCTTCAATATCTGTTCAATATTGAATGACTTCTTTGCCAGACCCTCCGTACGGAGTAGTGCAGTCAGGAGCACGGGGTAGCTGTGTGGCGGGCTTGGCGTAAGCTGCCCAGGTATGATTGGCATTGATCGCTGGTGCTACTGGGTGTTCTTTCGACACCTTTGATGCCTAGCATATTTGGACTCATTACGAACTCGGAATATTTCACTGTGATTGCGGGATCTTTTAGTTCGACCCCTGGAAGTATTCATGTCGGATTCGGACCCCAAAACCGGCCTTCACATCTCGTAATCAAGTTCCTCTCCGTCCTTGAAACGATGGGGGCCAATTGAAGCTCATTTATAAACTTCATTTCATGTTATACTGAGTTCTTTGACTTTCCTGCTTTTACTACTTTCACCCATTCCATTTGCTCAGCCTGAATGACTGATGATGATGGTAGCGGTTTTGGTTACTTGGCGGATCATGGGAACTAAAAAGCTGCTGGGGTATTTTCGTGTGCTTCTCTGACAATATAGGGGGTTGCTGCTACTCCCAATATTACTAGATACAAATGATACTTGCAAGCAAATTAGAAAATGTACTACAGATCTTATATTAGGAGCAGATTTTATGTGCTCATTACCCCAAATAAGGCACTAGTAAAATACTACCAAATTCGTCATGTACGAGAGGGAGAGAACCTAGACAGGTGCATGGGTTTAGGACGTGCGATAATACAAGGCGGTTTGGAAATCCAACAGTAACCCAACAGCATAGCCACACACACTACTAAACCCGCGTGTTTAGTCTTCGACGCTACACCCACATAGATAGCGTTCGGCCGTCGCACGGATTAGATTCTCTTGAACTGTTGAGTTCTAGTGATTCCTTAGCAAACCGATCTATTTGTTTAGAATTTTTGGAAGACCCGTAGAAAACTACCGATGACAGGCTGGTTCGTTGTACTACGTGAGTGGTCGTGACGAACACGCGCCACTGGCATTTGCTTCTCTGGCTTCTAAACTTCTATTCCACAGACTAATCACTTAGGTATGCCTAGGTGACCCGTAATTAGTTATCTATGATGTCTCTGCCACTCTTCGTTTTCCTGACGTTCAACTTAATTTCCAAGGCTTTTTACCATAATACTTCCACTACCCGGTCAACATGCATGCGAGAACCCCCGTTCAGGGCATTGTGGATTGGGCCTTGCCTGATGATCCGCCACTCTCTGGCCAGTCAAGAGACGTGACCAATATAGGCTCTCTGGATGAAGAAACCACCGACTCCGAATCTCGGACCACCTACGAAGCGCCACCGCCGTATTCGATCCTCCCTCAAACCACTTTACCTCCATTGTACTTGGACCTTTTTCCCAGCCCCTCTTCGACACCGTCACAGATTACTACATCCAGACCAATCCAAGTACGGCAGTCGAGATCAGAGTCATTCTCACGGCCACCGCTCCTTGAAAATTCGCCCTTACCGGCGCCAACTGCAACACCGCGAACCATTGGGCCACCCTTCGAAGCCAAGTGTCACGACAAGTCCATCAGCATTCTATTTCGCCTGCCAGACGGACTGCTGGGTCTTGTGGTCGAGCACCTGGACAATTCTGGCATCGAATGTCTACGACGCGTCTCGCGCAGGTTTGTTGCCTTGTGCAACGAAGAAATACTCACGCGGCCGTACACCTTCCAGCCAAGATGGAAGCTAAGCGATTCGGGCGGACCTTTTGCGTGGCCACGGTTCAGGGCCTTTGACGGCTCGCACGCGTGGACACACATCGCGGCCGGGGAACGGCAGCAGTTTCTGCAGCTGATAGCCAGGGACGCTTACTGCGACGGCTGTCTTAGGGCCCAGAACGCCGGTGATTGGGAACTGCGGGTTGAGCGGCTCAGGAGGTACCTCTATTGCCATTCTTGTAAGGCAGACCACCCAGCTTGTATTTTCCCTTGGTGGCAGAGGCAGGCACAAGCCAGCAACCGGAGCTGTATTGCGCACGAGGGGTACTTTCGACTATGTCAACACGAAGAGGGCATCATCCGTTGGTCCGATATCTCACGGATCAGCGAGCAATCGAGGGATGGTGAAGACGAGATTGATTGCGTAATACGATGCCAGGACGCCAGCCATGCCATTTCGTGCCCACAAACCAAGCGGGGAAGGTCTGATATCAGGGTCTACCGGCATAACGCTTGCTGCGTCGAGTGGCCCGTCCCTCAACTCAAAGTTGATGGCTCCAAGATAAAATTGCGTTGGGGCGCTCATATGCCCCTTCAGACCGACGGCAGATCAGTAACGGCGAACGACCTGCGTCAGGGAATAGCAGAGATCAGAGCAAAGGGCGGACGCTTCTTGTATCCTGCCATGACGTTTGAGCAAGACGTGCCAGAGATGCGCTGCTTTGACCCGAATGAATGTGACTGCGTGTCACGAGAAGCGTCCAGGAACGTCGAATCGATACCCAGGACTTCGTTGGATTCTGAGAAAGAGTGCCCAACAAACTTCTCAAGGAAGCTACCCCAATATCCACCTAACGTGTCTTCGTCTCGGCCGTCCACCGCTGGCTCCAGCATCCGGGAACAGCTTCGACCCCACAGCTTGAAGTACCGGGGGGCATGCGAGTCGAGCCAAAAGAAGCATGAGGCGCGCTGGTACTTCTTTGGTCCCGCACAGGTCAAAGTGGCATTCTGGCCATGCCACTCCAGTGACTTCTGCCTCGTCCTTCACTACACCCGGATCCTGACTATCGGCCGCGACGGAGCCATTGACGCGCAGTGGTATCAAGCGCTATACCCGGAATCGTACAACATCACTGGGGACAAGGAGGGATTTGAAATATACTGGTGTCGTCAGAACCGATGTCGGAACTACCATGGACGTATCCCTGGCTTCTCGAGAATCATAGGTGGAAAAGAGTACCACAGGACTGTGTATTCCGGTTGGTCTGTGGAGGCGCTTAAATATGTTGACAGTTAATTCGTCTTCACAGTAAACTGAGCATCAGCCACGGTGCTATTGATCTGGTTAATCTTTAAGAATCGCAAGAAGAATTAGACGTGGTAAAGGGGTCTCTTATAATTGACAAGAATCGCTTGTGTTGTTCTGAAGTGTGGTAAGAACAAAGCCTGAGGCGTCAACGTAGGTAAACTACGGCTGCAGACGTTGGTGACTTTTCTTCGCTACTTGCATATCCGGAATGGCCCAAAAGCATATAGCATGTTTAAGGATAAAGTGAAATTATGCCACTATCTGTGACAGGCAAGATTTGGCCCCCGCTAGTTAAATTCCCACACTCACATTTACCACAAAAGAATTACCTACACCCAACTCTAGATTCCTGAGAAATCACCCTCCAAAACCTTACTTTTCAAATATTCATTCTTAAAGACACAGATATCAGAAAGAAAAATTAGAGAAAGGTAATAATCGCTTAGAAGAGCCTTAATCTTTTTAATACTATCTTGTTTCTTTTAAAGCTAGACTTGAAAATTTTTTCTTTCTACTGATTTTTTGTGGTACGTACGATAATGCGATTTTAACCAGTGGGGAGCAACCTTGGAACTCTTGCTGGTCACAGACAGCATCCACCTAGGTATGGTCTAACGTGAGCGAGTTTCGGATTAGCCCCAACTGCAGTCCATCGCCCTCACGATTGCGTATCTGTGTTTGTTACGATCACGCGGTGTCTTTTCATTGTGGATAGCTACGAAAGCAGTGTTAGGAGGAAGGATTGGCGAATCGTGAATGACGACCAGGAGGTCAGGTCATTTTTGCATGGGAGGATGGTGATACAACCAACAGGTTGACCTATTTCACCAATTAGAACGACGAAGAGCGCACTGAATGAGGAGCCAGCGTCCACAAACCCAGCGATTTTCGGAAGCGAGATGTGGGCCGCCCAAGTTAGCAACAGGGGCATTATCTCTGTCTAAAAGTCCCAGTTCGGCGAAAATCCGATGTCAAATGTGAGATGTGAGATGTGTCTTTGTTCTTCTCAGGATCACTTGCCATTGAGAGACTAGATGGTGGGTTCGTTTCCAATCCCCATACATATAAAACGTATGTGGCGCCTTCATACAGTGGAAGAGAATACATAAGGCGCTCTATTCTTGGTCTTGATATTCGACATCATCAAGCCCCCGTCTGCTCCTAACGGTATAAACACGTCTCGATGCAAGTTAGCTCAACTGCCAACATGGCAACGGCTAATGTGCAATTAGCGAAGGTTTGTCTGATGCCCTCTGACATGTGAAATGATGAAAAGCTAATTATAGAGATAGCGTGAACGCCGGAGTTTATTGTTCAACCTTAAGACCTTGTACCTCTTCACAAAAACAGACATCAAGTCCATAGTCGTGCCACACTCGATTTTTGCCATTTCTGTGGTGTTTTCCAACGCAGATGTTCTCAATTCAGGAACGGCTGGGTCTGAACTTGGGAGCATATTGATGCGAATACCTTTAATGATATGGTGGCTCTGGATACATCTACTGGCTCAGGACATCTCTAACCAGAGACTTCCGGGGGGGATAGCAGAGGACGCTATCAACAAGCCTTGGCGCCCGATCCCTTCTGGGCGCATATCTGCAGATGAAGCCCAGCAGGCCCTCAGGGTGGTCGTGCCCATGGCATTGCTGACAGGCGCGGTACTGCAGAGCTTCGGGCCCAGCGCCACCGCCATGACGCTCGTCTGGCTCTACAACGACCTAGATGGTGCCGGCGCAGGCCCACTGCAACGCAACGTGCTGAACGCCTCTGGCCTGGCTTGCGGCTGTTGGGGGGCTCTTGCAACCCTGTTGGGCTCGAGCGAGGCCGTGGAAAGCAACACCGTGGTGATCCGCTGGATAGCTCTCACGGCGGCGATGGTCGTGACAACGATACAGGCACAGGACTTCCCAGACATTGCTGGTGATAAGGCTCGAGGCAGAAAGTCGATCCCAATTGTGTTCAACGAGAGTTTGGCCCGCGTGGCTACTGCCTTTCTTGTCCTGTTCTGGTCGGTGGTGTGTTTGGCCTTTTGGGACGTGAAGTCCATGAAAGTCTGGGTCGCAATGCTCGGCATAGCAAGCCTCATGTCATTCAAAATAGTTCTAGGCGGGACGATTTCCTCTGATAAGCTTGCCTGGAAGCTGTGGTGTTATTGGCTTAGTTTTACGTATCTTCTTCCTGTCTTCCAAGGTTCACCACAAGGTGCATCTCGTTGATGGCAGACACATGAGGGACCTGGCACACGAGCATAATCCCAAACAACATCGAGCACTCAAACAACGAAAAAGCTCATCTACAAAATTGGTGTGAGGTCTGCTACGCATGTGGAACGCGGTTCGATCGGACATTTTCCATCGAGGACATAAACCTGCAGAGAACATTTTATTCGCTTTCATCAATAAACATTTCATTTTTGGCCAAAGTTCCTGGTATTGATCCACAACCCCCATCAGAACTTGCAGAGTTCACTCCAGCCTCAAATGTAATGGGAAATGGCGCGGTCAACAGTTGCACAACGATGTCCTTTGACACTGCTTCCAAGAAGACGCGATTTGCCACTTCATTAGAAAGCAAAACGAAAACACATTCCGAGAACTAGTCAATTAATGTCTTTGTACTGAGCAGGATCATGAGAATATGACTTTTCAACCTAGAAAATAACGCAGACGACATTGGAAGGACGAATGACGGGAAACCCAAGCTCTCCACCCTTTTTAATTCTCGCTCTCCCGAATATCCTCGGCCACAATGTTGATGCCACCATGGCTTCCAGAAAGAACGACATGCCAGTTGTGACTGCTCTTGGGAATTAGTTCGACCCTCACATCGCGTTTCGGAAGCGGACATGCCCTGTCCATAACGACGTCCTTCTCCGGTTCGACCCATTTACCCCCAACAGGTTGCACGTCAAACCGTACAAGAAGTAGCGCCAGCAGGGCCAAGACCTCTGTGCTGGCAAAGTGACGGCCAGGACACAAGACCTGACCACCGCCGAAGCCGCGGAAAGCAGCTGCTGGAAACCGAGACTCCGCGTTCTTCCCGCCTTTGAGGAAGCGACGGTGGTTGAATTGTCCAACTGTTGGTCCCCACAGAGTTGGGTCGCTGTGGATCACAGCGTTTGGAATCATGACGAGGCCGCCCTTCTTTAGCAGATACTGGCTGTCTACCAACGTGTCCTCTTTGATCACACGCGCTGCTATACTGATGCCGTGGAATCGCAAGACCTCCTGCCATGTTGACACAAGGATAGGACAAGCTGTCATGACGTCTGCGAGGTCAATGGTATGAGTGCCATCAGCACTGACTGTTACCAGCCGATTGACCTCTTCTCGGCAGTCCTTGGCGACAACAGGATCTGTAAGGACTTGCCAAACGAGCCAGAATGCTGTAGGCGCAGTGTTCACAATTGCAGCTGTCACCTGGCCAATTTCCGTGTGCGCTGTCTCCCTGGTGTCGAGACCGAAGGCCGCATTGTGCTTCTCTCGTAGCTGGACAAACAGCGACCCATCAAGGTGGCCCTTGTCGTTGAAGTATCGATCAAACTCCGTAATCAATGCGCGGCATGCCTTGAGACTTCGTCTGGCAAAGATGTTTGGGAACAGATCCAACATCAGAGTCATAATCCCAGACTCGACTTCGAGCCATGCGTCTTCGTTCTGAGCGTCCCTGAACGGGTTGTGTGGCCCATAAGTCGCCTCCATCGTAGAGGCAAATATCTCATGGCGGAGCCACTCATATAGATTGACCGTGCTTGGTCCTTTGTTGGCCCGCCTGTCAAAGGCGGCGGCGAAGTGCTTGACTGCTTCCATGTTGAGGGAATCCAATCCTTGTCCCGGAGAGGCACCCGGGGCAATGTCTCTTGAAAAGCTTCGCAGGTAGCCGTCCTCGGCCGTCTCCTTGTCTCCAGCGACTTTATCCATGCTGTCTTTCTCAAGGAGCATAACCTTCTCGCAAAGGCGGGCTTGTATCGGTGAGAATGCAACAGTCATGATGTGACGGTCGATACGCTGAAGCATATGAAGGGTGTTGACGACGTAGAGAGGCGGCCCCGGAACTCGTATAGTGTAGATCGGAAGACGGTATCGATCTCTGAATGAGGGAAGTGGTCGTCAGAATCCGTTTAAGTAGATGCATCTCGAGATTTTGACAGCTGAAAGCTACCCTAGGGTAGAATAGATCGATAGTATACGTACCTCAGCCGGATGTAGTACTGCCCTTTGTGAGTGAGCATGCCAACAATGGGACTCACGAAGGGAATGGACCCGATAATCGCCTCTGGCTCTCTTGGATCATGTTTGAAACGTGCCAGTGCTAAGAGAAAGACATAAAGGGCCGTTGCGGCAGCCACCGACCAAACGATTGCAGATGGCATTCTTGCGTCTTGGTAGATGTTGCAGAGAATATTAGGGGAAAACTGATGGAGTGAATCCCACGATTGTGTTGCTGGCAAGACTGTAGAGTTATGGCAGAAGAAGGGGGATCTCGCCACGGTCTGCAAGCTCAGTCGTTTCGACGGCGTGTGAGCAATAATTTCTAAGAGCTGAAAGTGACGAGAGGGGGGAAAGGTGGCGCAGGGTATTGGGTGCGTGTTGGTTCGGTCAAACGGGGAGTTACAAACGCCACAATTGACCAAAAGTATAGTTAGGAGACAAAAGTCCCGCCACACTCTATACTAGTAATTTATCTATACTTAATGAATTAATTTCACTTAACATTTATAATCTAAAATAATTTTACAGTATATTATAACTTATTTTATTTAATGTATAATTTCTTATTTTTTCTTATATTATAATTAATATATAATAAAGTTACCTTTTATAATATATTTTCCTTAATTTCTTCCTAAAATTCAAAAAGGTGTTATAAATAATAATAAAAGAAGCTTAAATTATAATTATACTCCTTTACTTTAATCAACACTTATATATTATAGAGTTACCATTCTGTTGGCTATATGCTTGGGATGGGGACCATGGTGCTTCTGGCTTGCCTGGCGACGGTAGATTTAGGTGGCTGTCGAGTCCATTGTACCGTCAGTCTCTTTGGTCCGCCCCCCACAGCTGCACTCAGTCTTCCCTAAGGTAAGTCTCGGACTGTCCAACTTATTGTCGAAATCGAACTGGACTACCGTCGAGGTAATAGTGCCTGTGACAATTCAGAAGAAGAGTCTTCATTACGGGATGCAATACTGCCAGTATTGGCTGGGCTCTGACGAAGGTTTAACTGCAGCAGCTGTCGACCCACCAGTCCACCTGGTCACCCTGGCCATTTTGCGGTCGTCACCTCAATACGAATTCATTAGTGATGACCAGCTCTACCACGGTAGAACATTTATCATCCTGCGCCCTCGATCAAGTACACAAGGGGAAGGGGCTCTCCAAATCTGTCAAAGAGAGCTGAAGATGACAACAAAGCTGAAAGGGCGGGTTGGCTGGTAACCTGCGTGGGTAAACGCCATGGAAATGCAAAATACAAGGTGCGAGTATCCCTAACTTAATCAAGCAACGTGCACAAATTTAGTCAACAAATTTCTTTTCCACCAACTCTTCAAATCTACTACCTAAAGTCTTTATCAATAAGTAATTTCACGGCCTCAATCCCTCATTCTCAGCCCGTAAATGCCCATGATAGTCTTGATCTATACTCATCAAGGTCAAATTCGGGTCATTCGTGTTCGTGGCGGTCTTCATCCCGGTACTGCTTTGCCCAATCTTGCCAAGGAGTGAATGTACCCCGGTCATGGTTGCCTTCGGTATCTGCGGTAGGGTTGGAGCGTGCTGAGCTTTGACTTCTACGGAATCTTTTGTCTGGTTTTTGATGGATTTCCTGGAGTCTGGTGTTTTCTGATAACTGCGCGTCAAAGTATTCTGAAAGCTGCTTGCCCATGACGTGACTTTCTCCGTCATACTTCTAAACAAGATAAAGGCAACGGGTATACAGCTGCACAGGATGCCTAGATTGATCTCCGCAATGCTACAGAATTTTCGTCAATAGTTGTCTCAGTCTACTAGGGAAAGGTAATTGACAAACCTCCAACTGTAGACGGGCATCGAGTCCCACGTGAGGTCATGCGAGGAAAGAATAAGAAAGCGATAGTATGCACCCACTATCGAGAAGATGCATGCTCTGTTAAAGGTCAGTCTCCCAGGACCAATAGCACACGTGGTATGAAAAGAATTCCAGGGCGTTGGATAACCCTCGAAACTTACGAGGACCCCAGCACGAACACAGCAGCAAGTCCTGCTTTGCGACTCCTGGAAATATGCAGCTGGGACACAAAGAAAAGTGGGAGCAGTAAGATATATACATCTATTACAGCCCCACCAATCCCTGAGGCCGCCGTAGTTGGTGCACTGTACTTATCCATCCTCTCCAGGTACTGTGGAGATAGCCATCCACTCCCCATGAACCCAGTGGCCCAGTCTGCAGGCTTGGGGACACACCCGACGGCCACTACAATCAATATCGAGATATAAAACACGACGGTAAATGCCATGCCAGGCAAAATTAGAATACGAGAGCGACGTGAGGGGCCGAATATCCGTCGATAGAAGGCTAGAATCGCTGTTTTGGCAAACATGGCTGCTACCATGAAGAGCATTGATGTGATCACCGAGGTCTAAGAGTATGTTAAACGATGTACGCTCAGGTCGAATCCCCGGACCAGTGCTAGTGATTCAAAGTCAGGATTGATTGAGTACTAACCCGCACCCAGTACGGAGTCATTTTGCTGACTGGTATGTCCCACATGTGAGGGCCACTCGGATTATCGAGAGCTATTGTAACTCAGCTATGGCGCCAGAAGTACTTGCATTGGAAGGTAACTAAATGGCTTACTTGTGAAAAGCAAAGCGGTGTAGACTATGATGGTGGCCTAATTTCGAACCAAATCAGTTCTGCACAACTCATTTGTCTCATTTGTTGGGACGACTAACTGAAGCGAGCGTGCAGAGGTCTAGAGATACACTTGAATGAGCATCTGTTTACCAGGAAAATGCTATGGGAAGCTCACAATCATCCAGACTAATCTCATGCATCTTAAAGATCCGGACATACAACCGTAGAGCTAGGAATAGTATCATTGGTGGTAACGTTACGTAGGTGAAAACTCGGGGCATATTGCCCTGTGAGGGCGGATCGACAAAGTTTGATTTCATGCCGGGCGGAGGCGTTCCCGCCGGTATCTTGTCGTACAATGACATGTTATTTTTGATGTCGAGGTGCTCTTTGCATATCTTAAGCTCTTAGACGTATATGAAATTGATTCCCGCTACGTGATCCATGAGGCGTTATCATCAAATATTCATATACAAAACCGTCCTTTGTCGGGTAAGATGACGTTTTCATCACAATCAGCGGAGCGGCTGTGGATTGAGCCTTGCCCAGGTGCGGAAAACACGGCCCGCGGCTTTCCCACAAAGACTGTACGGCACGATACTTAAGCTTAAGTAGCTTTAAGAGGCTCAAGCTCTTGACAATGACGCAAGACTGACTCTACAGACACCAGTCTCGTCTCATCACCTAGGTATAGAGATTTTGAAGCCATTGATGGTATAACTCGTCTTCGTCGTAAATTCAACACCCTCCCCCCGCGCAGATTTTGGATATGATGGGCAGGAAGCTCTCGGAGCTCAAATACAGTGTAGAGCTCCTGAGGGCTCCCGAGTCGGAGCCTCTAGACCCTCCAGCTCAATCTATTTGGCAGTAGCTGTGAGTCAAGGAAACGACATCGGATCATTTGGAAAGCATCAGAACAGAGGTAGAACAAATACGCACTGTCAAATAGATATACCAGTGTTGCTCAAACCATATTATGGGATTGAACGTAGCTCTATCTCCTCTGAGTGGCCTTTATAATGTGCAATCTTAACGCGGGTGGCTGATATCCTCCTCCGAACTAGAAACCCGCCTTCTTGAAAACCCCGGTCAAGTCAACTGGTTGCGTTCTATTCCGTATACGACCAAGGAAATACATGGCGCCTTCATACGGTGCTAGCGCTTAAGAAGTATATGATATTAGTATCGTATTTGAAATAAGATAGGTGCTTGTGGCCTCAGCCTTACGACGTACAGACAAGGCTAAGGGGCACTGTCTTGAGGGCGGCCTTATCTAGAACGCCGATCTAACACTAAGCAAGTAACATTTATAAATGCAGTATTTTGTTAGGCGCAGTTCAAAAGTCAAGAACCTTTTAGAACATTCGTTGGGGTATCCTCCGAGGAATTTTAGGGAGAACACATGGTGCAGATGTACCTGGGTAACCAATGCAGATCTCCACACTGGTTAGATCCCCTGTGTATCGAAGGCAGGCTATTATTCAATATTCCATATAAAACCTACCACAAGGAAACTGGCCGTGAACCCCCCGGGGGTCTAGCACTGCCAAAAAAGGTGTAGATTTTCGGTCGTTCCTGTAATCGGCCTAATGCCATGCGGACGTGTCTCTCCTCAATTGCCTTCCTGCCCCCTTCAGGCTCAGTACCCAACTCGCCCTGTGCTTGCTGGGCGACCTCGGAACCAGACACAGCCCCGGGCGGGAGGTACCCTTCAGATCGCTGCTGTCTCAACGCCTCAGCCGTGAGGTTCTGCGCCATCTCACTGGTCAGAAAGCCAAGGATATCCATCACATCATCGCAGATCTTGTTTTTCTTATCATAGGCGTCCAGGCCACACCACTCCCTGAAGCGCTTCACCTTGCGGTACGTCAGGGACGCGCGGCGGTACTCGGACCATCTGGCGTACTCGGCCGCGGTCATGTCGCGGGTCCGCTCGTCGTTCTCGCGCAGCTTCTCGAGCGCCGCGGCGCTGCTGGTGGCCTCTGCGGGGTCCTCCGCCGCGATGTGCGCGACGTAATCGGCGAAGAATGATGAGATGTCCCATGGGAAGGAGACCCCGGGGACGGCGGCGGGCTTGGCCCTGTTCCTGGCCGCTGGTGCGCCGCCCGCCCCCGCGGCGACGTCGTCGTCCGAGTCGGCCTCCTCGGCCGGGTCGTCCTTGTCCTCGGCACCTCTTGCTGTTTTGCGGATGGCCTTCCACGCGAGGAAGGCGCGAATGCGCTGGACGCGGGCTTTATCGCGGACTTGGAATACGAGGTCGTCCTTTGAGAATGTGCGAGAGCCGCGCCGGTTGGCGGTAACCGTGGCCGCATTGAGCTAGATCCCTGTTAGAAATGCGGGAGCATCGCAAGCTAAAGGTCACTACAGATTGGGAAGGGTACTAACTAGGAGAGCGAGTTGGTCTCTGATGATATCCTCGATGAGCTTGATGGTTCCTGTGGAGACTTTCTGCGTTTCTCCTGCGATAAACATCATCTAGGGGATTTGAGCGGTGTTAGTCCATCGCAGCACAGTTATTCAATATATTATCCAGTCATCTTGGGCCATCCTGCGGGGGAAGAGGAAGCATCCAAGAATTTTGCGCAAGGGAAGAATTGCAAGAGTAGAGAGTAGGTCAAGAGCGCGATGGTGTTGTTTTAAGCGAACTGTGTGGCTACTAAGCGAAAGAGGAAAAGGAAATAAAAATTGGCAGAACAAATTTGGCATGTTGATCAATGATACTTACCTGCCGAATCTCCTGCCCGAATATGGGTTCCATGATCAAGTTGCACACCGGAAAGTTTGTGCCCCGTCGCGATTGTGATAGGGATCGGTTCGCGGATGACGGTTGACATTCGGATGAAGAACTGTGACGAGAAGTGCAACTCGGCATTTATATAAATTCTGAAGCCTCTCTAGCGCCTATGAGTACCAGACCAAAGACCTCTTGAGACTCCGGTTCTACAAGAAAGGGCAATTCTTTCGGCGCTGCCCTCGGAAAATTCATTGTTGAATTCTTGATCCTGGCGTATAAGCCAGTGTTGGTGCGAGACCCCTGCCTGGCCGCCTATTAGCCCTTGGACTACTTGTATCGACGATTCTAGTCCGCGGCCCCGTCCGAAACGATGCCTCCTAGCCTCGTATATACGTTATGAGGCTGAGGCCACATGACCGCGTGCTGTGTCTTTGTACTATTAGTATTATTATATTTTTAACACTAGGCCCCAAGTCTCTACTAATGTGTGAAGGTGCTATAAAAATTTTATGTATAGGGGGGAAACCGCCTGGTGCGGTGAGTACTAGTATGTTTTGGCACTGTATAGGGACTGGTCGCGAGACACGTGGTAGGCGAAGGAACTGGGGTGAGAAGAGAGGGACTAAAAGACGTGGGTGATGGCTTTTCTTTGGTGATCCGCGCCGGTAAATTTCCGAATCATCCATCTGCCCTACCCTTACCCACATGGTTGGTTTTCGCATGTTACTCCGACCCCTAGCCTGAATGCCTGAGGCCCGGGGCACAATCCACTTGACACCCATCATATCCAATGGGACTGCCCGACGGCTTGCGGCATAGTGAAACGATTGTTCCTTTGGCGCTGTCGGTAGGAGAGGTTGGTCAAAGGGAGCATCTAGCAAAGGGCTCCATATCTGAGCTGTGTCGAAACGCCCGTATTGGGACTTTAAATTCCAGGGTTGAGTCGCAAAGCCTCAGTCAGTGAAGCTGACGCTCGTGGCCGGTGTCACTTTCAAACGATGATTCAGGCCATACCTCTGTCATCCTAACTGGTATAGTGTTTTAGTCATCCTTACTGCCTACTTTAATAGTAATTCATTGACCATCAAACCATGGGCATAGTAGTATTTAGGACACAAACACCAAGGCTACCAGGGCTGCCGCTTACTATACTTAGTATAGTCAGTATAGTATAGTGCATATAAATACACCCACTACACCCCATTACACTAAGGGTATTTTAAAGTCCACTATATTATATTAAAGTATTGAGTATATATAATATAGTGGGTTTAAAATTTAAGTGTAAATAGAAGGGGGGGGTTTAGAGGAGGAGGGAGAGATAATAAAAGAAAAGCTAACTAAGTAAATAAATAAGATAAGGTAAGATAAAATAAAATTCTTTTACCTACTTATTTACTATTCTATTATTAATTCTATTATTTATTCTATTATTTATTCTGTTATTTACTCTATTATTTATTCTATTATTTATTCTATTATTTATTCTATTTATTTTATTTATTTAATTTAAATAATTTAAATAATTTAAATAATTTAAATAATTTAAATAATTTAAATAATTAAATAATTAAATAATTAAATAATTAAATAATTAAATAATTAAATAATTAAATAATTAAATAATTAAATAATTAAATAATTAAATAATTAAATAATTAAATAATTAAATAATTAAATAATTAAATAATTAACTAATTAACTAATTAACTAATTAAATAATTAAATAATTAAATAATTAAATAATTAAATAATTAAATAATTAAATAATTAAATAATTAAATAATTAAATAATTAAATAATTAAATAATTAAATAAATAGTTAAATAGATAATTAAATAGATAATTAAATAGATAATTAAATAGATAATTAAATAGATAATTAAATAAATAATTAAATAAATAGTTAGATTAATAGACTAATAGTTAGACTTTCCCCTTTAGTCCCCTCTATTTACACTTAAATTTTAAACCTACTACACTACACACACTTACACTAAAAGTCTTTATATTATGTTATATTTATATTAAAGGTTAAAGTATTTACATTTACATTCCACTGGCAAGCCCAGTGTGTGTAGTGTAGTGTACGGCAGCCCTGGAGGCTGCCCTGCGGCCTCATATCACGCCTCTGACTACCGGTTCAACCTTGATGCAAACAGGCTTAGATTACAGAGTTGATTTATTTCAAATAGAAGAAACTATTTTATATGAAACAACACTTGAGCAGAAGTAGAGATGCCGTCTTGTGGAGTTCAATGGGTGCGATGGAACTGTCTTACGGTGTCAGCAGAGGGCGTGCAAGGGCTGGTGAAGAAGTCAGAGAACTGGTGTGTTGAAGTGGAAAAATGAGGAACAGGTTCATCCTTCTGCAATTTGCGGATTGGCGAGATGAGACTCGATTAATTTTATGGTTGACGAATACGATTAAATTTGCAGAGATGCTGGGGATAAATCGGCAGCTTTGTCTATCGACGGTATAGCACGAGGTACGTACTTCGTACCGGCAGCAACTCACAGGACCATGCGAACCCCGCTGACAGGGAGTAGTTGCTGTCACTCCCGGCTCCCGCACCTACCCGCCCACTGCCGGGCCGCGCCATACTTGCCCAGGTATTAACATAAATGAGGTTGTCACTCACTGTTAGTGACGTCGAACTCACAGACTGGCATATATTTGAACGCGCCTTCACTACATTTCGAAACGTCCCTCACCAGACGATAAGCCAGCTCACTTGACACCATTCGAAACACTTGCAGATATCAGCCAATACTCAAGGTTACCTATCCCACCTGGATATTCACTCAAATTAGTCGACAGTGGCTCTACTCCTCTCACCAGCGAGACCTTCCTGCCGCCTCCTCTTCGCCACCAGCCCCACTCGGAGACAACATCAATACCGACAGCCACGATCACCAACCATCAGTAGCACGCCACGTAAAAACATCAGCATGGCGTGGCGAAGCTCCGGCTCGACCAACGAGGAACTGGTCGAGAAGCTGTGCCTCAACAACATGATCAAGTCGGACGTGGTCAAGCAGGCGTTCCTGAAGGTTTGTTGACAACAGCGACGACCCCCGACATCACCCCACCCTCAACGCCAAAGCCATCATCGATCACACACTAACGACACCCAAAGGTCGACCGCGGCAACTACGCCCCCTCCTCCCCTTACGCAGACTGCCCCCAGACCCTCGGCCACGGCGCCACAATCTCCGCCCCGCACATGCACGCCTCAGCCGTCGAGCACCTGCTTCCCATCCTGCAGCCGGCCCCCGGGTCAGGCAGGCCAAGCAGCACGGCCCGGCCCACGCGCGTGCTGGACATCGGCTCCGGCTCGGGCTACCTCACGCACCTGCTAGCCGAGCTCCTCCCCGCCGACGCGCCATCCGACGTCTCCGCCGCCGCCGACGGCAGGGTCCCCGCGTCGGTGGTGGGGCTCGAGCACATCGAGGCGCTGCGCGACATGGGCGAGCGCAACATGTCCAAGACGGAGGAGGGCCGGGCGCTGCTCGCGAGCGGGCGGGTGCGGTTCCGGCTGGGCGACGGGCGCAAGGGGTGGGTCGAGCCCGGGGAGGAGGAGGCCGGGTGGGATGTGATCCACGTCGGCGCGGCGGCCGTCCGGCTGCATGATGAGCTTGTGCAGCAGCTGCGGTCGCCGGGGAGGATGTTCATCCCTGTTGAGGACGAGGGGGGCGTTGGGGGCCAGCACATCTGGGCTGTCGATAAGGATGCCGAGGGTAATGTGACCAAGAAGAGGCTGTTTGGGGTGCGGTATGTGCCGTTGACGGATGCGCCCAAGTGAGGGTGGTCTGGGGCTGGGATTCGACTCGGAGGGGTCTGGTGCAGCAGTCGGATGATGCGAGTGGGTAGTTGAGGCAGGTTGTTGGCCGTAACTTTTTTGGCGTTGGGCTGTGATGGGACCAGTCCAGTGAGATGATCTTATGGCAGTCGGTTGCCCTTAATTTGAGCGACATAACCGCTTGCTTTGCTAGTCATCTATCAAGGCCCATAGGTGCTCTTTGCAGTTCAGTCATGTTGTTATATTCGTCTTGCGTGCTTTAGAAACATGTGCCCATCACGGGTGTGACCAGACTCCTCGACGACCCCATCCTCATCAACCCGTAGAGCCTACACCGCCCGTCATTGCACATTGAAGATGTCTTCTTTGAGTCTACATGCCATCTCTAGGCTCAGTCTACCTCTATGCTCACCTGCGTCTTATCCATGGGAACGCCATAGCAACCTAGCAAATCAAAATCCTCTGCTTTAAGCATTACGCCATCCAGTGAACCATCACAATGCCGGTCATGGCATGAACCGCCGGCACACCCACACCACCTCGGATCCCTATCGAGACGGGGCACCAGACCAGTCCGACTTGCGATAAGCAAACGGCAACAACTCATCCATCGACACGACCCGCAGGCTGCCCAATCCCCCATCCCACTCAGCCACGCCCCCCTTCGCATCCGCCACCGCCGCCTCCCCAGCCACCAGCCCCCTCGGCCTCGTATCCACGATCACGCGGATGTCAGGGTGCAGGTCCATCAGCACCTGCCTGCACCGCCCGCAGGGGCTCAGCACCGTGACGCCGTCGTTGCGCACGGCGACCATGTGCGTCAGCGCGCCGGCGACGCCGCAGCCGCCCGCCGCCGCGGCGCCGAGGGTGACGAGCTCCGCGCAGGGCCCGCCGTTGAAGTGCGAGACGTTGATCCCCGTGAAGATGGTGCGGCCGTCCGCGCTGAGGGCCGCGGCGCCGACCTGGTCTGGGGCGGGGGTCAGTGGACTGACTGCATGTGATGAACGCTGGATGGGTGCACTCACGGGTCGTCTGGTTGGTCTTGTCCACCTTTGCGATCGCCGCGTGCGCGGCTGCCACCAGCTTGTGCACGATGGCCTCCTCGGTGCTGAGGGTGCCGTTGGTCGTTGCCGGGCCGGCGGGGACGTCGGATATGTCGAGGGCTGCTGAGGTGCCCATGCTCGTGATGACCTCTTCCTCGGGGATGGGCCCCGCCGGGCCTGGGGAGGGCTGCTGCGACGACATCGGTGCGGATGTTTGGGGAGATGCGGGTGGTGGGACGTGAGGTCGGGATCGGCGGCAAGTTGTGTGTTTGTTCTTGTGTTTGCTGTCCGTACTTGACAGTGCTGGCGTGAGGAAGAGGGTTTATTTTTAGTTCCCAGGGAACAGACGGTGGCTAGGGAAGGAGCTAAGGCTGAGACGATCCTCTGCAGTGCTGCTGATTGTTGGTTGTAGGAGCCGAGTGCTTCCGGGGCCAAGGTCAATCCCGTCTTGGATGGAATGTTGTCATTCTGACTAATGATAACTCCCGAATCGTGACACCTGGTCGGGAGACTTCAGCGAGTATTACTTTACTTACGATTCACTTTTCTCGTTTTCACTTTTTTCTTTTTCCGGACCACAGATTCTAGACTTGTCTTCAATTGAATAAGCAAACCGAAATAAGTAAAAATCTAGGTACACTATAGACCTCCTCAGCAATGCTGTTCTAAGCCATGAAAGGCATTACATCCGAGATTCACCATAAATCAAATATTATTTAAGACATCTGATAGCTTCTTGCTTTGGGGCGCAAGGATCGGCAGATCGATGCCTGTAATCTTTTCTCTACGATATTAATCGTTGGTATATGTCCCTCTTCAGGGTGTACGGCGTGGTTCAGTGAGTTTTTGTACCAGCTGTGATTCTGTTAGTTCGGTGTCCTTGTACCATCATTTTCTTGAGGGGTGGGGGGGCAGCTAGCAACATGCACAACCTGCGTGCGCTTATAGGTCTCTAACAAGAAGTTAAGGCCCCATAAAACACAACACGACGAGTCCTGCTCGGTACCTCCCAGTGTTCATTCAGGTTATGAAAGTGTATATATCAAACGATCACTGAGCCGGTGCGCATCCATATCACATCGTCTTGCTCCGTATGCCTGGGCTGTCTTAAAACGCGGACTCTGGCTAACTGGAGCTGTCTCTACCCTAAGGTAATCGATCACCGGAGGTTAGTCAGGTGTGTGTTTTGACATAGCCACCACTTGGTGGTCTCTAGGCGCCTGACACTGATTTGGGTTCCCATCTAATTACTGAACTACCAAGGCGCCGCGTGCCTGACCACCCAGCTCAAACCTCTAGCGTTAGGAGTCGTCGAGAAACCGCATGCCTAGAGAATACTACCTAGGTAATCAAGTAGATAGCGGACAATGAAGCCGCTCCTCCCGGAGTTACAAGCCATGCCTGAAAAAAAGGAACAGAAAACCTTGACTTAACCAGGAATCGGCTTCTTATTTGAAGTCATTGCCTTTTTTATTTATCCCGCCAACCGAGTGCCAACGCCTTCCAAAAACTTGAATCAATGTCCACCAACGAAACGAGCCAACACTGGCGATAATCACACCCCAAAACTGCCCCCCTGCTCTCGTCACCAAGACCTCAGCTTGACTCCCTGTTCCCAACACCCACACTAGGTGTGGCTATCCTATACCGCCGACCGCCTCAATCAAGCACGAACACGCAATGGTTAGCCGTCTTTACGCTTGGCTGCTGCGCAAAGTGGTGCCGAGAGACAAGGAACAGGACGAGGGGACGACGCTGGAAGACTTACAGCCGCGGCCAGCCCCTGATTCTCAAAAGGACGCCGCGTCACCTCCCTATTCTGCACCCGATGTTCCCTGTGACGCCCACGCCAACCCTCCGACAAGCACGCCCCAGCACGAGACCCTCGAAGCCCCCCCGTGCCCGAAGCCCAGCGGCTCAGTCACCTCGTGAGGGCTCGCCCGTCTTGCGACCTCCTAAGCATATACACCAGTTGACCTTATAGAGCAGCCAAAAATGCCTCCACTAATACCGTGATCGGGGTATGCCGTGCCCTTGACGAGCAAGATCACAGAATGGTCGCCGCCCGTGCTGTCCGGGGTACCGCTGTTGCTGTCACAACCTCGCGCTCCTATGCTGCTTTTGTTGCTGCTACTACTGCAGCTGAGAGTGTGGCTTTGATTTATCACGAGCCCGACCGTGGTGATGAGGGAGACCGCACAAGGCAACCTTGGAAGCAATTCGTGCCGCTGCCGACACCAGTCAACTGCTCTAGCCGCCGATGCTGGTATCACGCCTAAAGGTGCTTGGCCACATGACATTCATGACCCGTCTTCTCCCGTCACGTCGGCATGTATGTATTTATTATCCCACAGGACTACCCCGTTTTAGGATATGAAGTTGACAAGTCATCAGAAGCGTTGTCTTCCATTTAGTTGACCACTGCTTGGTGAGCTACCAAACGCCCGCCCAGCACATGCGCCCAGCCCATACCATCTACCCGTGGTTCGGCTTCCACTTACCCACTCCTGGTGTTACAAAATGTGCATGGTCCAAAGGTAGGAGTGACCGAAGGTGGGTGAGGCACGGTACAGGCGTTGTATGTATTCTGAGGTGCATCGATAGCAGGAGCGTGTATGGAGCTGGCGCCAGCCGGCAGCCAGCTGATCCACGTAGCCAGCCCATGGCTAGTTGAGGACTGCTTCTGGACCACCTCTGTCCAAACCTCCAGCTATGAATATACGTCATCTTGAAGCTGTAGTTCAGCAAATGATGAAGTCTGAAGCCGAGGCCATGCTCTGCTCCTGGATTGAGTGGGATGAGTGGGTGGGAGACAAGACAGGGAAATTGGGATAAGAGAAAGGAGACTGAGGAGCTGAGCAGAGACAGGCTCGCATGGAATATGGACCCCCTGTCTGAAGACTTCCAAGGTTTTTACGGGCCAATTCCGTTTCAATGAAGCCTACCTAGGTGTGGGGACATGTGGATCCTTGGACGTCTCTGTATGTCTGCAGGTCTATGTGTCCATGGGTGAGGGGCCGACATGATGAACGCAGAGCGCCCGGCTATACACGACGTCCCCTTACCTTTTCTTTGGTCATCTGGCCCTTCATTTTACTGCTCCCAGCTCTGCTAAGCTTTCGTCCTGATTGCTCTCCGTCTACCCAGCTGGTTGAGGTAAGCAGCCATAGGTGTTGTACCTCGAGACTTGAAGACGTGTCGATGGCTCCAGCTTACTTTGGCTATCCAAGGATCAGTTAACGAGAAGACAGTTCACAAGCAGGTCAAGCTTCAAACGCCCCGAGGCAGCGGCGTCTATTCATCAAGATCTTTGAAAATATACCCCCCCCCCGTCCAAAAATAAGCTGCTGGTGCTGGTACTGCTGCTTCTGCTCCTCCTACTCCTCCTCCTCCTCCGCCTCCTCCTCCGTTGCCGCCGGACGGCCGCCGCCGGGCCGCTGATGTTGCTGTTGCTGTTGTTGCTGCTGCTGCTGCCAGCCGAGGACCAGCAAGCCCCACACGCCCACCACCGCGCAGAAGATGACGGCCCACGCCGCCACGGGGAAGAGGGCGCCACCCTCCCAATGCTTGACCACCTCGGCGGCGGCGGACAGCAGCCTGGCGAGCTCTGTCGCCGTCGCCGCCACTGTCACCGTCTCTGTCACCGTCTCTGTCACCGTCTCCGTCGCCGTCATCGTCGCTGTCATCGTCGCCGTCGCCGTCTCCGTCACCATCGGCATCATGATGGCGGCTGGATGCTGTCAGTCATGGAGTGCAGAGCCAAAGTGGTAGATGGGGGTGTGTCGTATGAGAAGTCTTGTACTTACAGGGTGTGTGTGCCTGTATGTGTATGTGTGTGTGTGTGTGTTTGTTTGTTTGTGTGTCTGTGTGCGTGCGAGACTGGAGAGGAAGCTCTCAGCACTGGGCCTCCGCAGGCAGCTTTTGACATTGTCACTCCTAGCCCGTGGTAGAGAAAGAGTCGCGACTTCCTCCCTGAGTCGAGGTGTCTCTCCGCCGGAGTGCCAGCTCCTGGGGGCCCCAAGGGAGCAGGAGCAGGAGCTCCGCACACTCGAGGGCTCCCTCGTCGGTCGAAACTGGGTTGCAGCCTTGAGCTTGATAGGAAAAGCAGGCGCAGGGCCTGGGTCACAAAATGCCCACTCAGCTATACTAGGGCTTAGGATCAAAGATTGATTTGGAAATGCGCACCCTAGACACGTCGTGCCCAAGGTGATTTGAGAACACAGCACCCCTAAATCAATCAATGGCTCCCCTATTGGAGCTGCTTCATAACTGGTTCAAGGAATAGACGCCTCAACACTTGCAGTGGTCTGGTCGTAGGAGCGGTTGGAGGGGAAGATGGACGTTGCACGAAGGTTGCAGGGTACTGCCACCAGCGCCTTCCTCCAGAAGCGAGGAAGGCATGTCCACGCCTACGACCGCATACCGCCAGCCAGAAGGGGAGCCAATGGGGTGGAGATGAGAACGAAGACTGAGATTTGAGAAAGAACACGTAACTCTCAAACAAGAGTTTGTTCTTGAAGACTGTATAAGAAAATGGCGAAGGAATTTAATCATGAGTAGAATATTCCCAACGGCGAAGCTGTGCACCCTTCTCGCACGCTGCAAATTTGCACGCTTCCCGCGGTCAGTAAATGTCACGCCTGACAGGTAAACACCTGTTCCCAAGTACACCTATCCAAAGACACTTTGACCCCAGTAGAAAGCCTTCCTAGCGGTCTTGACATCTCAACGTGCTCCAGGATGCATTGCTTGAGGGGGCGCAAGGTACATCTGTGTAGTTCATCTTCGAGGCAGGGGTCGAAAGTGATTGCTAACCCGAGTTCTCTCCGGGCTTTTCCACACGAGAGCCACCAGCTCAGAGTCACCAACGTTCTGGTTGTCGGGTGACCTTCTGACTCATCCCGATTTCGGTAATGAGTTGCAAATTGCTTCTCTTTGCAGTTTCTTGGCGACACCTAGGGACAGAATTTGGATATGCAAGCAGTCGAAGTCGTGGTTTGGTACTTTCAATAATGACAGCTTACATCTGCAGGGATACTACACGGGCATAGACAAATATAATTGGCGCTGCATTGTGTGCAAATCCCATACCATGAGGCTGACAGCTCGGCGAAGCTGACATGACCATCCAATCACGAAGATGCAGTGCGCAGTGATGCACATTAATATATCCTCAGTTCTGATTGGGTATCCTCAGAGCACCTAGGTATCTCAATAGGCAGTGGGATGGCTTCTGAACCCTTCAAACTGGTATCAACAGACAGCCAGCTACACAGGCTCCAGTGTGATATTTGACAAACGGCAAACAGCGGAACATGGATATCGATCGACAATGCTGTGTTATCACGTTGCAACGTTACATTAAAATTGATATCGACTCGACTGTGTCTTGGGAACATTTGCAGACATGCTCAATGCCCGCATCGTGTCCCATAGCGGGCTCCGCATTCATTGCATGTGGTTACCTCCGAATGACGCGGTATAGTTGAAGGTATGCCGGCATCCTCGTTATCTTCCCGAGACTCAACAGGCTGACACTTCATTACAGATGAATTAATATGGCTACTGTGGAGGTGGAATGTGATCGTCCGGAATGTGTGGGTTGGTAAGATCCGCGAGGACCTCGGGATGCATAGCCAGCGGGAGTAAGTGCGGCTGGCGCCATTTTCTCTCCGCTTCTGCCACAGACCTTATGGCAATGAACACCTGGGCAGGCAATAACGGTCATAAAAGCCACTGTCAGTAAATTCGAACGCAAAAAGACATGATTACCTGTTGGCTCGTCATACCTCTCGTATGCGGCAATGCAACGTTGTAGTTCATACGTGTGATCCGTGAGAGGCGGGCAGACAAGCCAATGGATATAATGGCTGTGGCAGTTAAAAGGGAATGAGTAAGACGATGATGCTTTGCCGTTCACCGTCAATTCAGACAATGCTGATCCATCGCGGCTGGAGCAGTTCTTGTCCGGATCGAATGCAAATGTGACCTGGGTGTAGCATGGGTAGTGTGGCCTAAGTCCCCGAGAAGGAATGGTGGTGCACAACGCATCCCTCTTCGTACTACCGTTCCTCCCCGCTTGTTGGTGATGTGGCGTAAACATCGAAGTCACTTGGGTCTCAATCCCGCTACTAAGCTCTTTAGTCGTTAATCAGCAACTCAAGTGCATATTTGATTCCTATTTATTTATGTTCGTCTTTCCATGACATGTTTCCTCGAGTAGACAACTGGGAAGTAGAGGCTAACCTCATATGATGGATATCAAACCGAAGCCAGGTCTATGACGGCCCACTGCCCCAGCGAGCTCGAAAGTGAGTACTGGTCCTGCCGAATTATGGTTCATGTGCCCGAGTCAATGCCCGAAGCACCTGTTGCCGAAATCTCATCAACCTCGAGATTTGATCCAAACAAAATGGACACAACGTTGAACAAAGTCGGCTGACAATTTGAGTGTTGTCACAAGTTGGTATGAAGCACAGTACAACCATTACCGGTGATCACCAAATAAGACGATATTACTGCTCCCCGGTCACCAAGCTAGTGGAATATTCGAACAAGACAGGCTCCATTATAGATTCACGACACCATGGGTCCACCAAAACAACCCAAACATTACTACCATCATGAGCTACGTTGCATCCCTCGCGCAATGTGGCCTAGCCGTCCTCTCCGCGGCCGCGCCAGCACCCGGTACAAGCCCAGGACTCATTATCACTATGGAAGCAGTGGCCCCCGCCATTGACACGCCTGACACACAGACACCTGTTCCCAAGCATATCAACAAGACCTCGACCTCAAGGGAAAGCCATTTTCGGCGATCTGTACATCTGAACGTGTGCGTACTGGGTTGGGATACTTCTCTCGCGACTATTATGTCTTTTCTCGGGCGGCAATGAGACCAAAAGCAACGTTCTGAAACATGCGAACGGTGCCTGCGCGTTGACGGCGAAGGGGCAAGTTGCTATCGAGCTCCATCGGGCGGGAGTTTCCGCACCGTAATAATAATACGAGGGTTCCATAAAGCCTGCCTGGCTGTGAACCATTCATGGCATATCAGACTTTGGTTGGATGTAATGCACAGCCCATTTGAAGGATGAGCAGCGGTTGAGTGGCATCGCGCGGGACCCGGGCGGCATGTCGGCCTGCTTTTCCAGACGAAGTCGGTGGAACTCGTACAAGTGAACTGGTGGAAGGCAACGCATGCGGGAGAAGAAACACAGGGCGTCTATTCTGGCTTATGATCACACTCACACAAACAAAGCACACGCGAAGTGAGAGTTTCAATTTACCTGTGCCTTTTCGAATCAGTTGCAGTGTACCGACAGACATTTTGGTTCCCCTTTCCTCCCTCAACTGCGCCCATCATCGACTCAGTATCTGCATCAACTTCCTGACATCCATATCTTCCAACCTTCCCACAAGAGCCGCAATCTCGTCAGCCGCATCTTGGCTGTGGTCAGGGACGTAGAGCGTCTGGAACTTCTCCTTCACGCCCTCCCAGTCGACGGGCCTCTCCTTCTCCCAAAGTGGAAGCGGGCATGCTTTGCTGACTTGCGTGCTATCCGTCCATTCGATCTTCACCGTGCTCCCAAATGACTTCAATGACTCGTCCACCTCGGCAACGATTTTCTTGCTCAGCTCCTTGACTGCGGGATCAGTCATCTTCTCGTACACCCCCCACCCCAGACCAGAGCCATATAGATATGCAGATGCAGTCTGGAAGTAGGTGCTGAACTGAGCGTCGACAACAGTCTGTGGGAGTATCTTGTTGGGGGTCGGCTCCCCGACGATTCCCCAGCACGGTTTAGGCAGGCCGACAACGATCCTCGCGACCTCCTTGCCTTGCTCTCTCGCAGCACGCCCGAACTCCGCCGCCATCTCGATCTGCCCGTGCGTCATCCGACAAGCGGGGAACGGCTTGATAGCAGTATCAACAAGCTCCCACCTGCTACCCAGGTCATGGACAGCAAGGGCATTCACGTCCGCTCCCTCAGCGAACGAGTTCAGGAATCCATCCTTACCCTCAATGGCCTTGGCGGCCCCGACCACCCCAGCCTCAGCCAGGTTGACGCAGACGAGCGCATCCGAGGCCGCAAAGCCGGCATGCAGCCGCTTGTTCCACGCCCCGTTCTCAAGGTACTGCATGCTCCCGCCGGCCTTTGAAAGCGCCAGGCCGAACGCGTTCTCGGCGGTCTCGGCGGACAGGCCCCGGAGGTTGCAGAGCGCGGCCACGGCGCCGAATATCCCGCACGTCGACGTGTTGTGGAACCCCTTGGCGTAGCCGCCCATGCCGTTGGCCTTGGAGATCCTGCAGACGGTCTCGTACCCGGCCGCGAGGGCGGCGAGCAGGCGGCCCGGCTGGAGGTCGGCCATGTTCTCTGCCTCGGCGAGGGCGGCCGGGATGACCGTCACGCCTATGTGGAGGGTCCCCGGGGCATAGGTGTCGTCGAAGTCGAGGGAGTGGGCGAAGGCGCCGTTCAGGAGCGAGGCGGTTGACTGGGTGAATGTGGAGCCGCTGCCGAATACTGTTGACTTTCCGGTCTCGCCGGCGCTCAGCTTCTTCAACGCGGCGAGGAAGGCCGGCGTTGAGTCGGCGTAGCTCACGCCTCCCACGGTCACGCCGATGTAGTCGAGGACCAGTTTCTTGAGGGTGTCTGTGACCTCGTCAGGAAGGGATGTGGGGCTCAAGGCTGATGCGAAGTGCGCCAGCGCCTTGGTGGGAGAGTCTGCATTCCCATTTTGCTGGGCAAGTGGTTTTATTGCTTGTTCTGAAGCCATGTTGTTATTCGTATTTCGGGACAGAAACTGCCTGTGTAACTCGATTGTTGTCTTTAGCGGAGGTTCACAGTCGAGAGACCCTCCAGTCCAACATCAAAAGTCAACGGTATTTACTAATAGTACCCGGCAGCAGCCATGCTGTGCATGATATTAGACTAGGATTAGCCTGAATCTAAGATGGCGGGCATATAGCCTACTTGCGGGAGGGAGGGGTTGGAGACGACGGAGCCGACGGAGCCGACGCGGCCCCGAGACCGAACATGTGTGGCAAGTTGGAAGCGAACATTGAAGGAACCCCGAGGGAGTTGGTTGTTCGACGTATTTTTCGGAATGGGTGCTGGCCACATGACGGGAATCCATCCGAGGCATCTCTATGCGCAGGCGCATCTGATATATCGCAAGGCCAAAGATGATCAATCTGCCGTATCTGGTTAAATGGGTCTTTGCGTCGATTTACTCCCGGGCATACCTCAAACATAATGATATGCATCATATCAACTTGATCTCATTACACAAAGGGACGTTGTATCAGTTTCAACTGTTAATTTGCATCTCAGGAATTAAGACCACCGTCCAAGTTTCAATCAAACAATCATTTCGTCGTGAAAGCCCATGTCCATCTGCCCCGGTGATCATCCAACAAAGAGAAGCTCTCTGGAACTGATATTGCTTGGAAAATCAGGGAAGGGAAAGGATGTCACCCGTTATCAGGCGCCGAGGCGAGTGATTAGGAAGCCCACTGCCCCTAAAGGACATCTTGTCATCCTCCTCAAGAAGGTCGGACACCGCAGTTGACTTATTAGCGCTCGTCATTAGCACTTTGAGCCTCTGCGGTCCTTGAAACTTATGTACCATCCATCTCAGCTGGAAGGCTACCAAGCTCATGCTTTTGTCCCATCCACCAAATGCGCCTTCGAACTCGGCGATCTCGTCAATTATGCATATTGTGATCTTGTTGCGCTCGATCTGGGTGAAGACCGCCCCGAATATCTCGCAAAGACTGTCGATATCATCTGGTAGGGCTCGCTCGTAGAGCTCTTTGTCAATTTGCAGCATCTTGGGGAGAATGTCATCTGGCTTGGACAGCAGCTGTGCAAGTAGACTCTGAATCAGACCCAAGGGCCCACTCGGCAGGTGGTCTGTATTCAAGGCATGGTGACCACAATAATACTGCAAGATGACGAGCGACTGGGCCTGGGCAAGAGTAGAGGCGAGCGACGCGCATAACACGGACAGTGGACTCGTTTTGCCGTTTCCGAGATTCTTGCAGTGGCCGTCGAGCATGAGCAGCTTCGACTCATCTTTCGTTATCCATTCTGTGAATTGTTCCATGCTCATGATCCTTCGAGCCAGTTCGCGTCCCTCTGATTCTACGTTGCTCTCTTGCTGGCGGATTCTGTCGATATCTTCGGCAACAGAGTCGATTTCAGTCAACTTTAGATGCTGAATGAGATGTTCCTTGCTCATTGTCCTCTTGACCGCATTCTCGGACCAGGTGGTATTCATATTCGCCTGGTAGCCAAGCCCTAACGTCGCTGTTCAGAATTCTGTGGCCTGAGCTATATTGGTAAGTTAAGAGGGGGCAAAAATGCTTACTTTGCATATATTCATTTTCTTGAATCAATCGATAGAGACCTGTCTGCATCTGGGCTGCCAGAAATTCTTGGAGACATTCTTTGACCGTCGTTTTAATGGTGTTGTCATCTGAAACTCGTGGCTCCCGTTGAAGAGCGACAATCTCTGCTATCGCGCGCATCATGTCATTGTGGTGTGTTGACATGGTTTGACGAATTGACTGAGTTTCCAACAGGGTGCTGGTGGACGTGTCGTATATCTTAGCAAGTCTTTCAGGCTCAAGTCTGCTGACACAAGCTGCCAATGCTGTTTTGGCTCCTGTGACTGTTTTGGATATCTCATCTATTCGTTGTGACTCGACGGCAGGAATGCGATTTATGTTTTTCGAGATGACTAGATCCCTGGTTCATCAGTGAGTCACATAAACCGGTGCAAGAAACCACCTTACATGAGCCCCTTTGCGTCCGGAGCAAGATACTGATTAGCTCGCTGAGGGAGCCCACTACAGTCTCGTAGACCATTTGAGCCGCCTTGCTCAATTTCTCATCGCGCGGGTACAGTTTCCACGTTTCGGTGGCGCCCGAAAGAAGTAGTGGAAGATCCTCAAGTTGCCGGAGGATTTCTTCCTTATTTTTGATTCGCGTTTGCCATGCCTGGACAGTCGCCATTAGTTATGAACAGCAGGATACCTGTGACATGGACGTGGCCCAGAGCTGATGGGGTTACCTGGAAAATAATGACCAATCCCTGGCGCAGTACGCTCAATCCCTTTTCGTCAGGTATCATGCCTGTGAGGGAATGAAGGATATCTGCGATTGCACCCGGATTCCTCAACCAGCTCCTAACCTTGCTGCTTTTGCCTTTTTCGTCGTAGGTTGCCTTGGCCTTAGCGATACAGTCTATCACATCTTCCCAGCCACACTCCCTTGGATCGCAAGTTATGTCAGAAGCAAGGTCATTTTGTCGCATCGCCTCGGACAATATTGTGCTCAGAACCCTGGCATAGTTATTAGCAGCTTCTGAGTGTTCCTGCCAACGGGGGCTGTACTGACGTCGACGGCAGCGGCGTGAAAGCGGCTCGTTGATCATCGTAGAGAGTCCTCCGCCCGAAACCTGGATGCAAATGGCTTGCCGATGTACTCTTGAACCTTTCGAAGAGCTCGAGTTCACGAGCTTCATTCATAACATCCGTTAGCGCCTTGGGATTGGGAACAAGGTCATCCATTCCGTCCTGGTCCTGTGTGATGATTGACCAAGGTATTGATGGAATTGAGTGTCAGCAGATTCGGCCTTCGGAACTTGTTGACGGTGTGCGTGGACACTACCTAGGTAGTTGATCTTGGAAACATCTCAAGTTCATACAGGTCATCAATAGCTAGACTGATTGACCTACGTGGCGTCTCACAAGCGCATTCTAGTCGTCCCTCTCTAATCGGCTTCGTGCATTGTTACGCCACCCCTGCAACACTGCAGGTGTGTGAACACCCGTTACGGCAACCATTGTCTGACTGCAGGACGATCTGTTTATCAAGCCAACCACAACACACATAAAGATCGCAATAGTCATACACTGCATGGCTTGCCAGCAGGCTGCAGCACCGGTGAGAAAAAACCCCTCACCTTTGTGGGACAGAAAAGTCGTGCGTTTATCGACCGTCTCTGCACCTGACAACCGTGGTTTGCCTTGCCTGAGATTCAGTCATGACTTTTGCTCCTTCCATAACAATACACCAAAACAACCGAAAGTTCAAGTCCTGAAGCTTGACGACCCATCAAAGTCTTTCTTTCTAGCTGTGGCCTCTGTATCTGCCTAGTCTGAAGGGGCTGATCAAAATAACATTGCTCAACCATCATGGCGCCAAATATGGTGTCCAGTTCTACGCAAACTCAGTCTGCGGTTTCGGAATCCACCGTGGATCCGGAGAACACGACAGCAGGCAGTACTCCGCAGGAACCTGAGGAGACGCCTAGCGCCCCCCAATCAATCATCGACACGACTACTAGTCAAGATGCCGACATAGTCAGTGCCATCCATGATGGAGCGGTTCTCAGGGAGGTCCAAAACTCCCTGCGCGAAATCAGCTATGGAGTAGATGAGTTGTCAACAACTGTACAGGACTTGCTCGGTCTCTCGGAATCGGAAGGGAATTCCTCCGAAGACTGCGCAAACGACAGTGAGCACCGCGGAAGGCCACGGTTTTCATGGTCCAAACTGAAGTCGAATGCTCGGCGACGTCGAAGATACCGGCAAGGGCTTGAAGAGACAAAAGACTCAGAGAATGGTGATGAAGTCACCAACACGCGGCCAGAAATCATAAATGACGTCAGGGAGTGCAATGACGAGCAGTTCCAGACGTCCTCAAATGGTGACAGCAACACGTCACATTGTATCGATATCTTGATTGAGGTCGATTCGCCCGACAAAGACAACCCGCAGCTCAATGAAACTTTTACCACAGGAAGAACCGGTATGATCGATACTGGGGAGCCAGATCATGTACCGGACCCAGACGAAGAACCGAGCTCGGAGCACAGTGAAACAAAATGGATTCGAATGATAAGAATCAACTCACGTGTCGTGTTGGCAACGCTGAAACACCTTGGCCATGCGACTACCGACCCTGGTTTCGGGTTCCACCCCGTTGAGTTCCCTCGACCATTTCAGGTGCTCATATCCATGCACGAGAAGATGAAGAACCATTCAGCCAGCATGAAATCTAAGAATTTCAATCAGGGGATAAGCAACCTTGACTTGGACTTGGACAAGATGTGGAAGAATAAAGTGGACAGTCGTGTCCTTGCCCTAATCAATAAGGACAATGCTCTTGACGAGCTGACATGTTTTGTGGACTTTATGGAGTCTCGAATCATGCCCGATTCACGACGGTACAGGGGGCCGTCGTCCACTCTACCCAAAACGATCCGGTATGAAGATCTATGGTACCTGTTTAAACCTGGAGACTTTATCTACCTTTCACCGGACGCAACTGCTCGACCCATGTGGAAGTCATCTGCATTGACACAAACCATTTTCCGTGTCATTCAGACCCGAGTCACCAACATATCGCCTACTGTCCCATTTGGGTTCAATCCTCAAGGTGGGTTTCCGCAAAGCTGGGCTTTATTGACCCACTTCATCGATCATGACGGAACATCCTACGCTCCAGTACCCTTTTTTATCTCTACTATTGCTCCGTTTCCGGGCAAGAAAAAGGTCACAGAGCTGGTAGCATACCCAGTATCATACTTAGAAGACGAGAGAATCATGGCGGAAGCCATCTCAGATGGACAGAATTTCGTCAGCCTGATGGAGCGACGTTCCGGCTTCTACAGCGGCTGGACGCAAACCGTGAACCCACTTGGACAACCTGTTGAACATGTTCAGACGGCTTCCCCAGGAAAAAGGTTGTCAAGCCCAGAGCACATCGAGAGCGAAATCCTCGTGGACTTCCAAGAAACCTTTCATGCAATTCCTGATTGGAAGGCTCCATTTTATAGAACAGCACCCCCCAGCCAGGGTTCAGACTGGTATAGGTATCAATTAACTACCATCATGGTCAACGGACCCTCACCCCCGATCCAGGTGGATCGTGGTAACGAGGGTGAGATAAAACCCCGGCGGTATAGAAGCGCAAGGATGATACGAGACTCCACCGAGAAGAACGAAGCCATAACGTTCATAATTGAAGATGAGTTGGGTCTATTCATGCCAAGCACGAGACCTGCTCCCACTGGAAAGTTCCTCGCGTTACTTCCGAGACGGATTTTTGCGTACGCGGTCATCGAGCGCCGATTTTTCCCTCTGGATATTCGTTTTGTTCGCAATTCGGATGTTCACGTTCATGACAAAACGTTTGAGAAGCTCGAAATCAACCAAGATTACAAGCGGCTCATCCTTGCGCTTGTCAAGTCGCATTTCGACAAGGTTGAGACGGAAAAGAGAACAAACACCGAGATTGGAACGCAAGATTTGATTCGAGGCAAGGGAAAAGGTGTTATCATTCTCCTTCATGGAGTCCCAGGGGTTGGGAAGACGGCGACGGCAGAAGCCGTCGCGCTTAAGTGGAGAAAGCCTCTATTCCCAATCACATGTGGGGATCTTGGGTACACAGCCGAGTCTTTGGAAAAGTCGTTGAGTGAAATTTTCCGATTGGCACATCACTGGGGCTGCATTTTGCTACTTGACGAGGCCGACGTCTTTATCACACGAAGGGAAAGGCACGACCTGAAGCGCAATGCATTGGTATCAGGTAAGACTTGCTAGGGTTCCATGACAGTCGATGTTAACATACGCTAATAGTCACCCAAGCATTTCTTAGGGTCCTGGAGTATTACAACGGGATTATGTTCCTAACAACCAATCGAGCAGGGGTTTTGGATGAGGCTGTGAAATCACGAGTACACTTGAGTTTACATTATGACCATCTTACCAAGGATCAGACAGTGGCAATCTTCAAGCAACACATTCAACGCCTCAGGGACATCGAGAGACAGAGAAATCCTGACCCTGACGATCAAATCCTCGTTCTCCCAAAAGAGATCCTCGAATTTGCTAAAGAGCATTACGATCGGGGGGGCAACAATGAAGGCTCCGGGACCAACCTTGGAAGGTGGAACGGAAGACAGATCAGGAACGCGTTCCTGATCGCGTCTTCCCTAGCACACTACGACAGTGAAGAGGACGGCGAAAACGAGGATTTGGAGGACTTGGCAGAACCCACAAGGAAGAAACAGAAACAGTTGGGCAGAAGTCAGTTTGAGCTCGTCGCCCGCACTACCCTTCTGTATGACCAGTACAGACAATCGGTTCACTCTGGCAGGTCAGACGATCGCGTCGCCTTTGAAAGAGAGGAGAGGGAAAAGCCATCTCAGCCACGGCCTCCCACACCCGCGCGGTTCAAGAATTGATTGAGGACACATGGACAGAATTGGGTAGCAATGACGGCCGCTTTCACTTCACTTGGAACGTATTCCGACAACATGGAGTTGGTCTGCTTTTATTTGATGATAGTCGCATTCACGAGGGCAATAGAGATGGTTCATATGTATTGCATTGCCTCCATACGCAGCTCCACGATCGGTAACTTAAGTATTCGATTCATTGTCTGCCTTTTGCACCATATCAAATCTATGCGTTGGCGTTGTTACAAGGCTCAAAAGGCATCCTTAATGTAGACCTCGGGAATTATCACGTCCTGGCTCCATTGATGTCCACGCCACCTCAACCTTTTAGCGCATGTTTAGAGCCTTTCCCCCGGACGAGGGGTAGGCCTGATGTGTCTGACCCTGTGTTTATGGAAGAGGCACTAGATATTGCGCTTGTACCTCCATATCGCTGGCACGCCTGAAGCGAGTGGAGGTGACTCGCTGGCGGCGGGCCTTGGCGGTGGGTGGATATAGCTGCGCGTTGTGGGGTGCCAGGGACTTGGATACCTACATGATGTTCTTGGACAAACTGCATATTTTGTCCATCAATGAGATGCACAGCTGTACAGCGTGGGACTGACCAACGTAGGAAGCCGGACGATACTTGTGCTGGCGTGGGTCTGCCGAGGACGAAGCGAATGGTATGCCCGGCCAGTGGTACAGGTGCAACTCATAGCTGAGCTTAAAATCATGAAACGGGTTCCTGATCACCAAGGACCAGTGATACTTACGAGGAGAACTCACATCAGCGTGTTTGTTGAGGGCCGTTTCTCGGTTAATTGCACCAATCAGTGTGTCGAGCGCAAGCAACCCGGAGTCCTTGGCACGGCCTTCGGCGTCAACGCCGTGGATTGATGTATTCATTGAGTGGTTGTAGTTTCTTTCGTAATCCCTATACGGTCTTTACCACTGTGTGAAGGCACCATGTATGTCGTCGGATGTATACGGAATAGAAGCGAAACCAGTTGATCCGTATGCATCACGAAGGCGTACGGTAGCTTCACACAGTGGTAAAAACTCAACCACCCAGTGTTTAAAAAAATGCGATGCCAACAACGGGATAAGGAGACTGAGCACGTGGATAAGAAAGCCCTTTCTAAGGTAGGTCATCTTGTCCATGCAGGGGCAGCGGCAAGCAGGGGCCGGCTGAAGAGAAAGCTGCAAGTTGTGTTGCTATAATTGTGCTCCGGATGGGAGGCAAGGTGGTTTTATTTTCAATCCCCATATATATAAAATATATATAGTACCTTTATATAATAGTAAATATTTAAGACTTAATATCTAAAAAAATATAATATTAATAATAATAAAAAGAGAATATAATATATAGGTATATAGTTAAGCCTTATATTATATAAATAAAGAAAGTTAGAAGGTATTACTTTTAATAATATTATATTAAAAAGTTAATAAAGTAGTTATATAGTAAGATTAAAATAATCTTTTAAAATAGCCCCTATAAAAAGAAGAGTTCTATAATATAAGACTTAATAAGCTAACTCTTCTTTATTAATATAGTTATTATATAACTATTTAAATCTACCTTTATTAAATAAGTTAGTATAATCTTTATTTTAAACATATAATTAATAGAATAATAATATTATAATAGTAAACTTATTTAAAAAAACCTTTTTATATAAATTTTATAAAAAAATTAAAACTTTTTTAAAAAGTTAAGTAAAATTTATTTATTATATATTAAATAAATATTATATAAAGAAAGTAAAAGTTTAAATATTTAAGAATTAAATCTTTCTTTTTTAAATATATTACTTTATTATTAAGGATTTATTTACTTCTATATAATATATAAAGAATATAGTAGAAGAAGGAGCTTTATAAAGGAAGTTAGTAACTCCCTACCGAGGGGAGGGGGGGTCCCTAACATAGGCATACAATCATATTAAAAATCAACATTTAAATAAAATCTAAACATTATAACTCAATACTAATAAAAGGTTAACAAAATACTATTATAGGTAAAATCTATCAAGAGGTTAATTATATATTAAATTTTAATATTATATTAGTATATATTAGAAATTCTAAATCTACTAGTTTTAAATTTTATAAGTTAATAAGGAAATAAGATTTCTATATTTCCTTAACTTCATAGCTCTATAGACTTAATATAAATTAATAATTAAGCTAAGAATTAGCTAATAAATAGTTAGATTAGGGATGAAAAAGAAAAAAAAACTTAATTCCAACAGGAATTAAACCCCTTTTTTTATCTATATATTAGGCCCCTAATAGCATATCAGGCCTCTAATAGTATATTAGAGCTTAACAGCATATCAAACTAAAAAGTGTCATATAATTTATACAAAACGAAATAATTTCAGTATTATAAAATACTTATAAAAGCCTTTTAATAATATATAGGTATTATATTTTATTTATATTAGAAAACCCCCCTCCCTCTAATAGGTCTATTATATATAGATAAGTTTACAAGTATATATTAAATAATTATTAACTTTATATTTAAAGTATAAGTTAATAAATAGTTTAAAAGCTAAGAAGATAATAAATAGATAAATATATAGTTGAATAAAAAATATAATGTGGTTGAAGCCCTGGATGGGAGGTAAATTCCCATTGCTTGTGAGAACGCGACGGGACAACTGCTTTTCCATGTCATCCAGCTATATCAGATTCTTCGCATACTTTCTTTCGGGCACGTTCATCTGCCTAATTATTCTAAACGGCGCCGTCGAAAGATTTGCGTTTCCCGCACGGCAGGATAAAAGTGCATCGACTTGAAGTCAGACCTCCAATGGCCTGTGCGAAGCAACAGGGGGTGCTTGGCTGGCTTACTTAACTGCAGTGGTGGTTTTGAGCACTGCAGTGACAAGTGGTCCGCAAGAAGCTAGGTGATGCATGCATGAGTCCCGGGAAGGTCACCCTCCAATATTGGAGATCACATCAAGCGATCCCTGGGAGATCGACGCAGTTGGTGGGAAATCACTCGTAGGAGCAATGGGCGTGAACGAGGCTCAACGGGCATCAAACCGGCACAGGAAGCTTAATTCAGGCGCTCGCTTTTGAGCCGCAGCAGCAGGAAGATCGGCAAACCCCCGTTTGCCCATCAGTGTGGGGATAGCCCGGGGTCCCGAGGCCCATTTTAGTCCCAGTTGAGACGAATGAGACCGACTTCTGGAACAGCGCAGGGTCATGAGACGCCGAAACCCCTGAGGCTCCCACGCCCACCCCCTTTCGCTTCGAAATAACCTTAAAACATCGCTCGAATGAGCTTGTCTGCTTTGCGCGGACTGGCCGCTGGCGCGCCTGGAGCGCACTCCTCGTCTTCTTAAAAGGGAGTGGCCAAGGCAGGGTAGGTAGGTGTTCACGATGACTCGTCTCGTCTCATCCCCTGCGGCTGTCACACAGACCCCTGCGGCGGCAATGTCAAACCTGCTAGTCTTCAGGCGGCGGCTTGGCGATGGCTTCAAGGTTGGATGGCACTTGGAACCCCATTAGAGCATATAAACTTCGGCTGAGAAGGATCTGCTTTCATGTGTTTCTACCGGACGATCACGAGCACATTTCCGTTGAAGGTCTCTATTCTATCTCTATCGCCGGTCGTTGGATTCGTTTGTAATATTCCAAGTTTCAATTCTCTCGCTACCAAACTTCACACCCTCTCTTTCAGCAATTTTAATCCTTTTTTTCAACTTCCATCAACGAAAATGAGGTTCGCTTTCGTCATCACAATCTTGGTCGCCAGTGCTTCTGCAGCAAGCCTGCAACCCCGTCAAAGGGGTCGTGGCAAGGGCCGAAAGGGAAAGGGAGCTGGCGCTGCCGTCGGTGCAGGAGCCGCAGGAGGAGCTGCCGCCGGGGCCGCGACTGGGGCCGCGACTGGATCCGCCGCAGGAGGGAACACGGCGGCTGCTGGAGCTGTCCAGAGGGGAGCGTCCACGCTGGTGTTCAAGGAAGACGGAGGTGTCCCTGGAAACGAGTGCCTCACCTTCCGCAACAACGGTGAGCTGTCCCCTGTCTATGCGCCGAACGACGCCGTGGACGATCGCTGACATTCTCTCCCAGGTGAAATCGTCGATGCGGCTTGCGTCAACGAGGCTGCCGACCGGCAAATAACCCCGTCTACGCTCAACGGAGCCGACGTGCTCCTCGTGCAGCGGTCATTCACCGCCGGCTTCCGGCCCGACCTGGTCGGTGTCCAGGCCTGCGTCGGCTTCAACGGTACGACCTTCCGTGCCGAGGACTGCGCCGCCAACGGCATCGAGCTGGTCAGCTTCAACCAGGCCACGAGCCAGCTGGTTGCCACGGGTGGAGCGTGCCAGAGCGGGCATGACGGCGCTGCTCAGCTTACTGTTGATGAAACTGGCCAGAACTGTGCCACTCTCACCACGACCACTGTCACGCCCACAGCCCCTGAATAAGAGATTCGATGCGGAGGACACCGTTAATCCGGGGCTGCATCTTCGCGCGTTGCCATTTTGGTGCACTCATGAGTGACGACGAGATTCACTGGCTCATTCGACATGGGCCATCATAAATGATTCAAACACTACATAATAAATGAAACCCACAATGCAGAAGTATCTTCCGTCCTACGTCACGCTCTGTGAAAATGTAACTGGATACAGCATATCAAATCTTGAGGTCTGTGTTAAGTCGCCATATCCTTCGTCTACTTCGATTTTCATGGATGCTATTGGTAACTTATATGTGTATGTAATAATGCACCACATGATTCCCGAGCGGGCGACAGCATTGTGTCATTCTAGGAACCCAGTCTCGTGTGGTTCGTGGCCAACTACCCGAGCTTATAGTCTTCTTCACTATCGGCCTCACTGCGAAGGCCCATCGGTCCGCAGATCATGTTCTTTTCCGAAGATATTGACTACATGCTCATTGGTTCCCGGCGTGATGCAAAACTTCTTTGTTCCAAAACATTTGGCTTGGTTGCTAGGGATATGGTGATCATGACGTGGAACCACTACAAGGCCTATGGCCTATGGGTGCTTCCTCAGATATCGACTGGTAAAGTCACTCCCCCAAAATTTAAATCCCATACCTAAGCATGTTTGAATCAGTCCCGTCCCGAAGAATGGCCAGGAGCGCACCCGAAACATTGTGGAGCAAGCAGTTGGGGAGTGTCTCACTGTCGTTCGCGAGTGTTCCAACCAACCAAAGCTCACCCGTGGAACCCACATTTAAGAGTGGACGCTTTCTGACAGGAGCCTCTACGCATTGTTTGGGAGCATGACGAATATTTGAGCGCTCAGCAACCGGGAACTTGATTACCGATAAGATGGCCTGACTGTACTCTCCTATAAGCTCTCAGTCATTGCGAGTTCACATCATGGATGATTTCCGGCGTTCGGTATTCATTTTCTACTCTGGCACCCTTATCTCTTTGTAATTCTCCCATAATATTCCTGCTGTTATGTTTCCAGCCTCTTTTACCGCCCTGGTGGCAGGAGCAACATTGGTCGTTGGACGAACTCCTGAGGGGTTCATGCCGAACTCTAATTTTGATTTAATGGTCGTATATGGTCAGACGGCGGCGATGGATGGAGTCATGGTAGACAAAGGAGGTAATACAGTCCAACCTTTCAAATGACTATGAGATGCTAAAAACTGCTAGCAACGGCCAGCGCGCCGACACTGGCCACCAAATCTCGTCTCGATGGGACGTCGTACGCCGTGATCATGGTAGACCTCGACATACCTTCGAATCAGAACCCACACACCTTCCTTCACTGGGTGCAGACGGGTCTTACCCCGGCCACAACAGCCTCAAGCATACCAGTATCAAACGGAACCATCCGAGGCTTCACCCTGTCCAACGCCAAGAAAACAAGTGCTCTGGTCCCCTACACGCAGCCCAACCCACCAGCTCAGAATCCACTCAGCCACAGGTACACCCAGGTGCTAGTCGACACCAGCTCAATGACCCGGGCCGGGCTATCTGCACTCCAGTCAGGCGCCCAGGCCCGCGTGGGCTTCGACACCGCGTCCGTGCTGGAAGCGGCGGGGCTGAGCAATAGTGTCGTCGCGGGCAACTCCTTCAACGTGACAAATCCGGGCGGGGCTGTGTCATCGGCAGGCTTTAGGAACTTCACCTCAGCCTCGGTCGGGGACTCGACTGGCAGCGTACAAGGGAGTGGACAGATCTCGAACCCTGACAACGAAGGGTTCAAAGGGTTCGGAGCTACAAATGGGGGCGGTGGACTCAGTGGCGGGGGCACGCTTACGACCACGATTTCATCTGCGCCGGCCGGGCCGACTTCTGGACTGACGCAGGCTGGGAATACTGGCAGTCAGACTTCAGCGGCATCGACGAGCGTTGGCTGGAGCTTTGGTTATCCAATCGCATGTATGGTTGTTTTTGGATCGACTTTCATTCTCTCGAGCACCTTATAGTTTGATTGAATCGACCGGGCCCTTGGTGGCGGCATTGCTTAGTTAACGGATCTTATTGCAAATGAGATCACTTGTACTTGTTAATACGCCACCTGAACAGACACAAGATACAGGCCCTTCCTAGAAATATCATCAAGGACTTCAGCGCGACTCTTCAAGTTGTGTGCCACAACCGGTGTTCTTCATAATCTACGGTGTATCAAAATCTTCGACTGCGATTTAAGTCTACAAGCATCCTTCCTTTGCCGAGCCTCACATTTGTTCGGAATAGGCGGATGAACGGACCAAGGTCCTGGTAAGCCCCTGGCATGCCTAGAATCCAGACGAAGGTACCCCTGGAAAAGAACCGGCCGGTAGATGTACTCAGAGCTTCGGCTCCGGCGGCTTGGAAGCTGCCCAGCTCTCGAGGATGACGTTCTGTTTGCTGTCCAGCCTCTCCTGCGTCAGCTCGTATAACCTTGGCACGCCGGTGCTCTTGAAATCCACGTCGTCCAGAGCCATTTTGGCAACAGCCTTGGCGGCGAGGAATATCTGGGGCATGCCGTGGCCCGTAAAACCAGCGATGACTAGCTGTTTTGGTCGACTCGGCAAAGGCCCGACGAAAGGCCACCCATCCGATGAGTACCCCATGACTGGAGAACGGTGTTAATGCATTAACGATGTGATATGGTGGACCCCATTGAAAACTTACTGCCTGTCCAAACCTTGTGGGTGTATGCTCCCGAGTCTTCCCAGCCCTTGAAGTTCTTCTGCATGTAGTCGTCGAAATGATGGTGCGCGCCACCCGTCGTGATCAATTTGTCGTCTTCAACGGTGTTGTACCAGCTGTGAAGGTCGTGGTAATATCTCTCCCTGGCGCCACCGACAACTATGCTCCCATCTAGCCGTGGGATAAGATACTCGTACTCGGTCGGCGACCACCGTATGATGTAACTGTTTGGCAGGTGGGGGGCGGGCTTTTTCCGGGGGACGACGTGACTGCAGATTCCCTTGACAGGGACAATCTTGTTCTCAAACTCTGGGAGGATCGAAGATGTATACCCGTTCGTGGCGTAGACCACCTTCTTTGCTCTCAGAGTGCCACGTTCTTTCGTTGTCAGCGTGTAGTACCCCTCCGCATCCGGCTCCTTCGACACCCCCGTAACAGGCGTGTGCGTCTGAAGGTTCACACCAGCATCCACTGCCTTCTGCAACAGGGCAAGTATGAGCTTGTACGGCCACAGGTGGCCGGCCGAGTAGCTGACGCACCCCTTGGCCCCCTTCACGCCGGAGAGCTGCTCCGCGCCGGGGCCTCCCTCGTAGGAGACGTCCTTCATGACGGACAGGCCAGCCTTGCGGAGAAGGTCGAAGCCCGCCTTCATGCGATCGTTGATGGCATCTGTCATCAGCGCGTCGACGGCCCGCGTCAACACGAATTCGCAGTCTATCTGCTCCTCCTCGATGACGGTCTTTAGAGCGGCGAGCGTCTCTGCCTCGAATGAGGCGCATTCCGCTGCTACCTCGAAGCCGTGGGAGACGGCCACGGAGGCTGGGCGGTTGTATGGGTCAGGCTTAAGGTGGCCGCCTGAGGACAGTCAGTATCTTATCACAGGCGCCAAACGGATGAGGACGATATGGTACCATTTCGGCCAGTGGCACCCGAGCATGCCTGCCGTGCCTCGAGGATGACTATCGACGGCGGCGAAACACTCTTTTCTCTACTCTGTCGGAGGATGTGGTACACCACTGAGGCACCTGCATATCCAGCACCAACGACCGCGATATCAACTGCATCCGGGAGGTCCGGGGTGCTCCGGTGGTCGTCGAGAGGGTGGAGCTCCGTCCTCCAGAAAGAATCTGTGGAGTTGGCCACGGGAAGTGGGGAAGGAGCCATGCTTGTCTTTTGCAAGGAGATCAGAGGAGCCTAGGCAGCGGTGACGATCGCGTTCATTGGGACGGCTTGAGGCGTCTTGGTCCCGATGCAGCCCGGGACTGTTGTGCTGCAGTAAAGTTATAGGGCCCAAGAGATTTCCAGGGGTTTGCGTCGGAACCCGCCGACATCGAGCCGGTGTGAACCCGGATGAGCAGCGACTGCCGACGAGCTTATCGGACGTGGACCACTCTTTCTCGACAACCCAGATGCCGGCTGTTTGCGCGCGGATGAGTCAGGCAGTGACTGAGACAGGCAAGTGCCGGGCCGGGTAGCCCTGTCCATCTCGTTCCTCGACGACGATTGCCAGTGAAGCGATGACCCTTGTGGAATGGAATTCAAACATACTATGTAGTACTGTCCCCCAAGGTTCCCACATCAGCATCATTACAATCCGACAGTGAAAGACGCTCAGCGAGGCCGTTCTGATGTCAACGAGGAAAGAAGAGAGCGAGAAGGAAGTCTTGCAACAGCTGCGGCTTAATGGAATAACGAATGATGCATGGGCGGTTTCGTTTCTCGTCCCCATAAATATAAAACATATGCGGCCCCTTCATACAGTGATAAACGCTTAAGATCTAGCGTAGGACAAGAAACAAAAATAAAATAGAACAAAAGTGCTGGCAGAACAGACTTCCGGTTGTCTGGGAGACCTCAGGACTTCAGGATGCCTAGACCTTATACATAGAGAACGGAAATTCGCGCACCCAGAATTGGAAGGCGCGCACCCTCCCTACTATTTAGCCAATTAGAGTATAGAACCTTAAAGTCTTTATAACTTTAATAAATAAATCCTTTTTATAATTTAGAATTATAAATAGAATAAGTTAGTCCTTTAAAAACTTAAGTTATACTTATTAGCTTTATTTATAACCTTTTATTATACTTTATACTTTAAAGTTCACCCTTTTTACCCTTACTAGCCCTTTTATAAAAGATATCTTATATTTTATACTTCTTAATTAGTAGATAGGTGCGTGCCTTCTAATTCTAGGTGCGTGAATTTCCGTTCTTTATATATAAGCTAGTATTTATACACCTAATATATTAGTCCACACACTTAATATCTTCCGTTAATATATATAATACTTAGTTTTAAATATAGAGTTTATATTAACTTATATAGCTAATTAGAATTCTTTAAATTTTTAATACTTTAAGTATAAGCCTTTTTTAAACCTTTTTTAACACTCTTTTTAAAATTCTTTTTAAGCTTTCTAGCTTTTAAATATTAAGTTTTTATTTCAATATTAACTAAGTATTTTAATATTAATTAAATATTAAAAGGTTAGAAATTTAAAAGGTTAGAAAGTTAAAAAGAGTATTAAAAAGTTAAAAAGAATATAGTTTTTACCTTTACTTTCTTACTTTTTAACCTTTTAATATTTAATGAATATTTAAATAAGGAGTTAATATTTAAATAAAAAGTTAGTACTTAAAGGTAAAAGGGTGCTAGAAGGTATATTAGAGGGTTAAAAGGTGTGTTAAAATATATATTAGAAAGTAAAGGTAAAAGGTTTTAAAAAGGGTGTTAAAAGGGGTTTAAAAGGGGTTTAAAAGAGGTTTATACTTAAAGTATTAAAAATTAAAGAAAAAGCTTATATTATAAGGTTACTTAATATTAATTTACAAAGTATTTATAATTATAAGAGAGTTATTAAGAAAAGTAGGTATTAAGTGTGTAGAAAGAAATTGCTAGGTGTGTAGACTAATATACTGGGTGTGTGGACGCTGGCTCCTTATACATAGCCGGCCTATATTCTTTCCACCACTGTACAACTTGTAACATAGCCATTTTTTACCTGAGAGCCAATTCTGATAATTCGATCAAGTCCCCTGACTTTGCATTTACCCCCAGAACGAATAGGTGGGATTTCCCCCGGGATGACCTCGGTGATTATTTCTATGAGGTGAAGCCACAGAGTGGAATACAGGGCCAAGGCCCATACAAAGAGGCATAGCGTTAACGCATGCTGCGACAAAATGGCCTGTATGAATTGATTCAGCAATAGAACATATGGAAACTGTCGCACTTGAGAAGCCATCAAGTCTTGAGCATTGTTATCGGCATCGCATGTTTTTAAAATACTTGAGTCTTTGAGCTTTGCTGCACGAAGTCGCCGCGTTTGGCTTCGGACGTATACAGAATAGAAACGAAACCAGTCAGAAACCAGTCATTTAGTTGCAGCAATAATCTTGTCCGCCATCTCCGGCAGTGTGGGTGCAACAACATCCAGCTCACCAAAAACACTGTACAGTGGCTCGCTCTCCAAGGCCGTGCAATACGCACCATGAAACCTGGATAAACGTGTTAGCTTGGTCACACCAGGCAACAGACTGGCAAAGGAAAACGTACCCGACCGTTCTCGCCGTGCTCACATCCCACATGTGCGCAGCCGCAAACCAAGGCTTCTTCCCGTCCCTGCTCAACCTCTCCAGCAGCGGCCGGTACGCCTCGGGAACCGGCTTCGCAACACCCACAGTATCACAACTGAGCAGGTTCTCAGACGGCATATCCACCCCGGCGTCCCTGAAATAGCCGCCCACGCGCGCAATATCCCCAGCCGTGAAGCACCACACCGTGAACCCCGCATCCCGCAGCCTCTGCACGCACTCCTTGGCGCCCTCCCGCAGGTACAGCTTCTGCCACTCGCCGACGAGCCACCGCACGTCGTCCTCGCCGCAGAAGGCCCTGGGCTCCTGCACCCCGGCGAAGAAGAGCATGCGGTAGAAGAGCTGGCCGAACACCTCGAAGAAGGGCTTGTACCGGCCCGACAGGGAGAGGTACGTGTACTCGCGCTCCGCGGCCTCGATCCAGCACGCCCCCAGCAGCGCCGGCTTGATCCCCGCGGCCCTGAGCTTGTCGCCGAGGCGTTCCTCCATGGCCTCCCAGAGCCGGGCGTAGGAGACCAGGGTGCCTACTACGTCGAAGACGACGTCCTTGGTAGCTGGGATCGACATGGTGGGAGAGCGTCTGCAATGCGGAGCGGTGGGGTTTCAAAAACAAGGGCTGGTCATTCGAACGTTATAGCTGATACGAGAGACAAAATTGTCGCATTGGCGGTAAGAAAGGAGAGCTATGACCCCGGCAAGCCCTGCTATTTCGAATACCTAAACATCTAGATACCTATAAGTATGTAAGCAATAGTCACTGTGACGTGGTTAGTCAAAGCTAGGCGCGCACCGGCGAACGAGAATCGACGCGGCAGTTCGGCGAGCATATCAGTTTCGTATTGCGGGGATTGGGGAGACCGGCGATAAATATGCAGCTTTTCCGGGGTTGGATCCTCGATTCCCGGCCCTCGGCGGGTTTGCTAAAAACCGGGCCGGTCTTCCTCAGCCGTCTCGGAACCGTGGCCCGTAGGGCTTAACCAAGTAGCATGAATTATATAGTTGGGTCAGGTTTTGATAGACTGGTGTATTACAGGTAGGGCAATATAGCCGATGTCATTAGTTCTATATTAATAGTCTCTCTAGCTGGTTCTATTGGGTAGAGGATTGTAGTGGACTTAATATTTATGCTAGCTTCTCTTAGATTATAACCAGAAGTTTCTAGGTTTAGCGTATAAAGTAGCGAAATAGACTTATCCAGGGCTGGCAGGCTAATATCAGGAGTTCCTGACTCCCATGTACTGAAAGAATCTACCCTAGGGTATCAAAACCAGACCAGCAGTTTTCACAATCAGAGGAGTTGACTGTGCACGTTTTTTTAAAAGTAAAAAGACTAGTTAGTGGCCAAGCCCAAGTTCCTTGATGATAATATCAGCCGCCTTCTCGCCAATCATCATGGCAGCGCTGTTCGTATTGCCCGATACATTCTCCGGGGCAATGCTAAGGTCTGCCACCTTCAACCGCTTCATGCCATGTACGTTGAGATGGCCATCCACCACGCCCATCCGAGCCAACGGTGCCATCTTACATGTGCCGAGCGAGTGATACGCCGTCCCGATGTTCTGGCGCACATATTCTTCGATAGCTTGGTCGTCCTCGGCGGTGTATATGATAATTTTTGGCAGCGGGCCTTCGCCGCTGTCGACAACAGCCGCGTTGGAAGACGCCGGAAAATTCGGGTGCTGGGACGCTATCTCACCGGCGAAGCACGGCATGTTCCGCGCAATTTCCCTCTGCTTCTTGTACGCCCAGATCTGGGTCTTGACGTCAAAGTCCTGAGTGTCGCTGAGATATCCTGCCCTCACATTGACGGGATCGTCCATTCCTGGCCCGGTGATATGCTTATGATCAGAGTTAGCCAGTGTGGAAATTCGTCTGTACGGGGTGAGTGAATTGGCTTACAATATGACCGCGAGAATAGGTATATGTAGCAAAGCTGCCGATAGTAAAGTACGACGATGCCGGGAAGGCCGTGGGGGACCCAAGGATACTGCCAAGCTTCAGCCAGTCTGGATGAACAGTCAGGGTATCAAGATCAAGCTGGTTTCACGAACCCTGCAACTGCGAGCATGATGGCGAGTGGTTTGTTGGGGCTGCTGAAGTCTCTGCGCCAGAGATTTTGAAATTCCAAGCCGAGCGAGCTGACCTCTTGGTCCGTCGGTCGGAGCTTCGAGGAGGCGTCGATACCGTTCCAGCTCAAGATAGGGTCGTCGGTTGCAAGCAGCTGCTGCAAGTCCCGGCGACCATCCACAATGCTATCAAATGTGTCCAGTGGTGAGATGTTCGCAAGATAGGTCCATTGCGCGAGATGGTGGTCTTGGAGATCATGACCGACTCCAGGGAGATGCTGCTTGACCTCAATCCCCAGACCCGTCAAGATTTCAGAGTTGCCAACGCCCGACCTTTCGAGGATAGATGGCGAGCCCAAGGAGCCAGCAGAGATCACAACCAGCTTTCTCGCCGTGGCAGTCTCAGTCGTAGCATTGCCAGTGATGGCCTTCTGGAGTGATGGGTTTGGCCTGTACTCGATCCCCGTAGCCTGATTGTGCTCGTCGAAGAGGATTCGAAGTACCTGAGACGCGACCAAGACGTGGAGGTTTTGGTGTTTTCCGTCTTCGAGCCGGGGGTGGAGGAATGCATGCGCAGAATCCTGTCTCTTGCCGGAGACCGGGGAGACATATCGGCGTGAGACTGACACAGCATCGTTCGTAACTAGATCTTGGACGTCGGCTGCCCTGTGGTAACCCAGCTTCTTGACTGCAGCTTCGAAGTCTGTGCCGACTGTTTCTTCTCTGTACCTTCCACTCGATACGTCGACGGGGCCGTTGAAGCCATGGCTGGTATCATTTCCATGCCCGTGGTATGTCTCAAACTGTACTGTCTAGTCAGCATCAACGACATCTATGCCTATCATCCGACCTACTTTCGCAAGGAAAGGCAGAAGCTCTTCTGCTGTCCAGCCAGCCGTGTTCCAGGAATTGAGATCATCCTCTTGGGGCCGAGCATATATGAGTCCGTTCACAGATGAGCCTCCCCCGAGGACAGAACCTGTAGCCAGCAGCGGGCGGCGGTTTGCTAACTGTGCCTCCTCGTTTCCCACTATGAAACGGGCTGTCGTGGTATCGGGGGAAAAGTTGGCTCGGTAGAGAGCCGGGTGTATGATCTCTGCCACGTCGCGGTTGTTGGGTCCGCCCTCAACCACCAAGACTGAAAGGTCGGGGGCCGCGTCAGATAGCCTCGATGCAACAATGCAGCCTGCAGTGCCTCCTATTGTCGTAAAGACAAGAGTCAGCAAAAGCCCCCAATGAAGGTGATGTCCAAGCGGGTATCCAGGTCAACTGACCCCCAACAACGATGACATCCACCTCGTGCACTGCACTGGGTAGTGTATTGTACAGTCCCATTTTTAGAAAGTCGCTTCTGCAGTCCGATGTTGAATTAACGAATGCAGGCAGCAGTGTTCTGTTTGTGGCCGTCTGCATGTTTTAAGAACTCACTCGGCAAGTTGATTACCCCGACCGTTTCCTACCGTGTGCCTTGGCTGATCCCTCGCCCCTCCCGTATGTTTCATCGCGTCAGCAGAGTACCCCGGTACTTTTGTTCGATCTACATGTTGTTCTGTCACCGGCTATGCTGGTTGGTCCTCTCAAGCACCAACAACCCGGTATTACAGCTTTCAGAGCTAGGTCTATAGTAGGATGGATAGGAATTTCTAGAGTCAGCCATTGCAAACATGCATGCTCAGTGTCTTATAAACCTACCGCAACTGTCATAACGAATCCATAGCATTATTCAGCGCATAGATCCACAAGGGTCCCGTAGAAAGGTACCTTCTTGGCCACCTAATAACTGTCCACTGTTGCTAAGGTTAGCAACTTGGGTTTAGTCCTACCAGGTAAAATCTGTTGAAGTTCTATGCAGCTTGAGTAAAGGACCAATTTTATCTACAACTTGACGTATGATAAGGAATCGAAGCACAATAAGAGACCAAACAGTGCTCACGCCGGGTGTCACCAATGGTCGTGAGTTTCCCGATTATGCTAATGTGTACGCCGTAATGCCCCAGAGCTGGTTCATGCGGACAGACCTTTTCGTTTTAGAGAGAAAAAACAATGTATGAATCCAATAACAACAATGAAATAGACACAGACGGATCTAGTCATGGCAAATGGTAGAGTCAGAAAATCATATAACAGTCATGGGTACCCTCGAGTATGGAGTTTGAGCTCTGGGCAACATTTTCGTCGTCGGCAGCAACATTTCTATCCCCAGAGGTTGCGGCTGAATATCGGCGAAGAAGCCCGAAGAATCACATAGCTGAAGGACAGTGACGCCATGATGCTGATATGGGACTGTGTACTTGCTTCTACATGACACAATCCATTCCGGGGAATCGCCCAGTGTTTGCACAGTTTTGCCGACGCTCAAGCTTCCCAGTTGACAGACGGCCGTCATCGAATGGTGTGTGCAGGTCTATCTATGCTAAACGGCTCGGGGGTGTGCATTTGTGGAACACGTCAAATCCTGATGCTGTTTGCCATGATTGCCTGCCGATATAACGTCAAGCACAAGATATCGTGAGTTATTCTGTTCCCTGTGCGTCTAATCAATTGCGCACAGCCTGCCAGTGTCATGCAGTCCGTCCACGACTATTGGCCGGTTTGCCATAACCGGGCCGGTCTTTCTCGGCCGTCTCGGAACCGGGGACCGTGGGGCGTAAACGACCAGCATTTATGTACTTCGTTCAGGTCTGATTACACTGGATTGTCAGGGAAACACAGTCGATGTCTTCAAAGCCACGTCACTGGTGTCTCTGGCTGATTCGCAACGCTTTTGGTGGACATGATATTCATACTGGCTACACTCAATCATGATCATGGGCACGTGGTTGGCTTTCACGGCATGTGGCAGCTGAACAGGCTCGTCTGGAATCATCATCCCCTACTCATATAAGTCCCGGCCACGCATCCAGCCCCCCGAGCTCGGGGAACCCACCAAAGAGGCTCAAGTCATCCAGCTGCGGGTCCATCCTCATCCCCGCGTTGTCCATCAGCGCCATCCACCTTGCAGATCCCGGACTGTCCTCGAGATCAGGCGGCGGCCCCAGCACACCCGGACCAGAAGGCATCCCGGGATAAGGAGAAGGCACAGTGGCCATCTCGTGCGCCCTCTTCAGGCCCCTGAGAGAATCATCCCCCGGCACCGACCGCTGCTGAGCCTGGTGGTGCTGCTGCTGGCCCTGCGGCTGCTGCGCCTCGCCCGGGCCGCCAGCAGCACCGACAGGCCACATGGCAGCCCACTCCCGGAACCGCTCATACCCGGTCTTGCCCAGGTCCATCTCCCCACGGACGTTGATCTCCACAAACGTCTGCCCCTTGTCGTCCGCCCCGCCCCCGCCCCCGGCCCCGGGGCCCCGCGCGTCCTGCTGCATGGCGTGCAGCCGCCGCACGGCGATCTCGAGCGCCTCGATGATGCTCGCCTCGCTCTGCGTGGACACGTTGTTGCCCGCCGCCATGCGCCGGATCAGCCGCATGCCCATCTCGACCGCGGCCTTGAGCCGCGGCTGCGGGGTGCCCGGGCCCAGCACCACGGACTGCGCGAGCATCACCAGCAGCGCGGCGCGGCACGAGCTGAACTCGGTGTAGCTTGACCGCGCGAGGCCTGTTGTCTCGTGCAGGGTGCGGAGGAGGGCGATTGTGTTTATGGCGGCCTCGACGGCGCGCTCGACCAGGGCGGCGCGGTTGCGCGGGCGCTCCGGGGCGGCGGTGGAGGTGTTTGGGGGCGCTGGGGAGGACGGCGAGGCCGAGGAGGGGTTGGTGTCGGTGGGGCGGCGGGTCTGTTCTGGGGAGGCTGCGGACTCTGGGGTGACGCCGCTTGTCTGGAAGAAGATGAAGGGGCGGCCGACGAAGATGTCGTTTAGGTATAGGCAGAGCTTGAGGTGGGCATTTGAGCGGAAGTTTGGTGAGGACGGGGTTGGGTTTTGCACGTCTGGGCTTAATGTGGACCACCATGTGTGGAGGGCCTGGCATATCCCCACTATGCGTTCGAAGTAGGTCGGCTGTAGGTTTCTGGGACACCTCCGGAGGAGTGTGCTGTGATCCTGGTCAGCTATGTCGAACAGTTGACGCATGTGTGAAGTCGCCTCGGGCCAGACAGGCAGGGAACTCACATGGCGTTGGCCACCTCACCCAGACGGGTCGTCATGTCTATCAGAGCAGACATGTTGGCATACCTGGACACCTCGTCGTGTGCCCGGAATTCGTGCAGGTCCTTGGGCAGTTCAGCGTCCACCTCAGTGGCGGAGATGGAAGCCGGCCGGCCGTGCAGGACACTGACACGCCTCTCGACGGTGTATGCCGTCCACCACAACCGGTTGCGGGTCTCGATGGTCCATGTATCCAGGTCATTTCCGGCATATCTCCTGTGCATGCCATTCTGGATAGCCATCTTGATCCCGAGGCCGAGATACGTATATGCCAGTCCGTGTGTGTCGAGTGGTAGGGCGTAGTGCGCCAGGAGCAGACACGCCTGCACGCTCTCCATCGATGCCATGGTGATAATGTCCGGGATGAGCTTCGAGGCCATCTGGTAGAATGTGACGCCGACATCCGAGTCCGTATCAGAAGGCCCACTGGGGGTTTTCTGCCCGTCTCTGTCCGGGACATCGGGTTCCGACAGGTTGTCCTCGGGGGCGCCAGCAGCCATGTGTGCGAACTGTGTCCCGATGGCCAGGACCATGAGCACCGAGCACACCCACGCCGAGTCCTCGCTGTTGACGTGCCCGGGCGCCTCGTACAGGAACTCGAGCTTCTTGCGCAGCCACGACTCCTCCACGTAGAAGCAGTTGACCTGCGCGTGCCGGAAGTACACCTGCACGAGGAAGTTGGCGACGGCGCGCGGGGGCAGGCAGCTGATGACGCTCTGCACGAGGGACTTGTGCGACTGGAGCTGGGTCGCGCGCCAGTACTCGAGGATCTTCATGCCCTTCTTGGGCGCAGGTCCACCGCCGCGGCCGGCAGCATGGGGCAGGTTTCTTGCATCGCGGGCGTCCAGTCTGGCGGATGAGATGGGTATATCCGAGTCCAGACACTGGCTCAGCCGTCGACGCAGCTTTTGGGAGAAGTTCCAGTGCGAGAACTCGCCGGAATAGTCTAAGAGCCAGTCAGTCATCAGCCTGGATGATGGTGAGATAGATGGTGGGCACCTACGTGCTATGCTCTGAGACAGCGTCTTGACCGTGAAGTTCTCGTCCTCAAGGGCCAGGTCATCGAGATACTCAGGCTCGGGCCTCTCATCTCCAACCTCGCTCGCGGTGGCAGGCCTCTGCCTGACCTTGTCCGACATGCGCCGGAGGTTGCTCAGGTCCATCGGCACGTTGCCCAAGAGGTGCTGGACCAGGCTCTCAAGGCACTTGACCCTCTCCTCGGACCGGCTGTCATCGCCGCCCCCGCTGCTGCTCTCCCCGACGGACCTGACCGAGGCCGCGGGGGCATGTGAGGCCCGCTGCTTGGTCGGGAGCGAGCTCGCGGGGGCGGTGAAGCCGGCGGCCACGGGAGTGAACTCGCAGCTCCGCCCCGACCGGGAGCAGCGCTGGCACGGGTGTCGTCCGTCGCACTTCTCCTTGAGCCGTCGACAGCGCTGGCACGCCCGTGCCGCGCGGACCCGGACGCTGTCCGCCACCCGGCGGCGCTTCGAGTGCGGGGGGCTGAGTGCATGATGATGGTGATGCTGCTGCTGCTGCTGCTGGTCCTGGTCCTGGTGCACGACGACCACCTCATCCCCCTCCAGGTCCCGGGCCGGTCGCTTGGAGTCGTGTTCGGTGCTTGGCTCCATTGTTCCCGCGTGCTGAGGTGACGAATATGCAGCCCCGGGAGCCGTCGAGGACGCCCGTGGGGGGAGACGAGGGCCCGGAGGAGGGTCGTAGCCGCCAGGGTGCACGCCGAGTGCCGAGCTTATCACAAACAATGGGTCCGAGATTGAGGCGTGTCGGTGCTAGTGGGTCGCTATCGACGGGCTTTCTGGGGTAGCCCCTCTGGCGGGTGGATCTGGCTGAGGGGCTCATGCGTCCCGAGTCAACGGGCACGACTGAATACCCTGGAGAGACCAAGATGACCCGGAATTTGGTGAAACCTAATTTGCTCCTGCAAAAGGTTATCCAAATCACCCGACGGATTCCCAGCCCTGGAGTTTATCTCGATAAGTTGCCGTGAAGTGATTGCGTTACATGACACGGACAACCTGTTCCGTAACAAATTCGACGGCATTATTGGACCACAGAAGCCCAATACGCTGTTGAAGGCTCAATCTAATAGATGAATTAGGCTTGTGTGCCGATCCCAAATGCATCACGGGGTAAAACTGGTGAATTGACTACGAATGATAGATAATTGGTCGGCTAGGCTACTTAAGATGTGCTCGTCAAAAGAGCACTGAGACGATCGAGGCCGATGTCGGAGCATGGCCAGGCTGTCTCCCTGCCAAATGTCAACCAAGTTTCACCTCTCACGAGTGCCGTGAAGGCCACCTGCGGGCATGGGGTAAACTGTGTTCAAGTGCTTCACCGGAAATAGTATTTGGAGATCGAGGCTACGTTCTGCCATGAGCAAGTAGCTGAGAAGGTGTGACTAAACTTGAGTGAGAAAATTGTTGTAGTGAAGCACCGGGGGCTTTTCATTGGGGTGCGTGATCCAGAGGAAGCACTTGAGAGAATCCAGATATTCACTGCAATACGGGTTGATTATTGCGAACCATCTGTGCGTCTGAAGCATTTCTAGACCAACATCAAAAATAGCTAGTTTGACGCAGTTGAGTGACCGCTGTCCCTTTCCGTTGGACAAGTAAGCCATTGCGGTATTTCCTCAATACCAAACAATTGTTTCCATGACACCTGTTAAAGCTTGTCACCCGCACCTATCAACTCGGTTACTGGAGAGCCTTACTTTCGTTGACTTGGCGATCTTGTGGAGTTGCTCAGGTCCCGGAATACCAGGCCTCATTTGCCCTTCAGCTGGAGACACTGTATGGAACAGCAGCGAGGTGGCACTTGACTTCCATAGACCGACCTCGCTTTTGCTTCTGCTCTCGACCATTGCGGCAACTAGGAACAACCCGGACGCCAGGACGACAAAGAAGGGCAGCGCCAGCCAGGCCCATTGAACCCGGACGAGTACGGTCGTCCTTTCGGCGAGACCATGGGCGATCGCATTGTTATTTAGACGGAGCTGATCAGTCATGGCGATAGCCACCGAGTCCATTAACTCTGAGACATTCTTGTGCGGATCGCGGATGGCTTCAGTGATGCCTGCTGGATATACAGGCACCCACTCTCCGTCGGCGAGTGTGCCGCTGAATGACGGAGAGACAAAATAATCGACCAATGCGCCAACATCCAAAGTGCGGACATGGAACTCCGGGAGGCCTGTCGTGTTAAAAAGAATGTAACTGAAAAGCTCAAGGCTATCAGTAGATGATGTACCTAGCGGCTCGCTCCCATTTATATGGAGGTAGCCATCATCAAGTGGAATGGTTTCCATGCTTTCAATGGTGAACTTGTTTGTGGTGGACGATGCTTTCGTGTAGTTGTAGGCCGCAAACCCTACATCACATTCGAGAGTTTGCTCGACTGTGCCGTCGCTATACCTATACTCGCTTGGCTGTCTAAATGCAGCTAGACGGATAAATTTTGACGGTAAACGTTCGAATGGCTGTAGTGAAAGAAGAAAGAATCATTAGATTCCATGCAGGATTTACCCAAAGTCTTTTATAAAGAATTACCATTCATGTGAGACACACAGTAGAGATCTCCGGGAAATTGCTGTAGAGAGCTTTGGCCTTTATAACGAGGACGGTTGACCAGAAGGTCGGATGGATCGTTGTATCAAATGTGACGTTACCGGGTGTTGTCATTGTGCAATTTCTAGAACCACCCAGGTCGTTGGACGTGCAATTCATCGTCGCATATGTCGCTTTAGTAACGTTAATGCAGCTTGTGCTGAAGCCTAGGGACACGTGGCTCTGGTCCCAAGAACAGTTTGTGCCGCAGCCGAATGAAGGTGGAATTTCAAGCTCATAGAAGGCCTTGAGGATTGCGCCCTGCATACCTAGGTAGAAGTATCGACGGTATAAGCTTGAATGAAAGGCTTCGGGTCAGTTGTTTCCAATACACTCACTACCTTGTGTTCTAGATGGGAAACATGGCTTGGCATACGGTCTGTTGTCCAATAGCTTCTGCTCCAGCTTCTAGGCGCTCCGAGGGCGCCCCCAAAGTAATCTCGAGCCAGACCGAAGGCAGCAGTGCCATCGTCAGCCCATTCGGGTACGGCCTCAGTGCTGATAACTTGCTGTGCAAATGTATCAACCCCTAATGCCAAGACCGTGACAACAGCGCCCAGAGTCGCCACACCCCAGGGGATTCTGGACAGCATCATGATAGAGCCCAAGGGGCCGCGGGCCGCTGCCTCCATGATATCAACATCGGCAAGCCTTCTGGCTTTAGCGCTGAAATAAGCCCATTTCGACTGTCCAATGCACGCGGCCACGGAAAGCATCGCAGTCGATTTAGCCCCGGTGATGAATACAGCGATTGTGGCGTTTAAGCTGATCTAGAGAAGCAGCAGAAAATTTTGTTAGTTAGCGTGCCAGTTCAAGGGATGACGGAAAGACCTTACGAAGAAGTGCCATTGGTCTGCCGGCTTGTCTTGCATTGTCGCTAAAACCGCAACAACTGCGACTAGGCAGCTAATGCTGGCCATGATACTAACTATCTCCTCCCACCACCAAGTTGAGGACAAGCGATTACGACAGTTTGATTGCTGTAATGGCTTATAGTCTGTCATTGTTGTGACTATGTATAAGGTAATCGTCGTGGACAGGCAAGGACGTTGCGAAGTTGATCGGAACAAGTAACGCCCGTCTACTTACAGTTAATATCTATATAAGAACAAAAAAAGCGAGGTGACCGCTGGGCCGGATCCTGCAGTCATTTCTGCTTAATCTCTACACATGGAGTGAGCCTGGGCTGATATCTCACATGTGCACGCGCCGGCAAAGCATCCTGGCGGCCGCGAGGTTGTGGGGGAAGTTACACGTGGAAATGCTGGGTCCGCCATCACAGTTAAGTGGCCCTTCCATTGGACTATCAAACATTGAAGTGCAACATTTTTCCAGATGCTTTGAGCATTTTGACGCGGATAAGCTCGTGGCTGGAGGTAATGCGAAATGATCTACCATCCACACTACGTCAATCATGCTGCGCCGTTGCACTGCCCAGCCTTGAGCTGAAACTCACCTCGGGTCCTCACTTGGAGCCTAAAACGATGGAATGCTTCCAATGAGACCTGGTAACCTTGAGTGGGCACGCTCATGGGCAACTCGAAGAGCAGTGATACCGCCAAGGGCTGACGGCTGCATAATCTTCAGATTCTTGTCTACGATGGCGCGGGGCGAGATTCCACATGGTGACTTCGGGATGGAGCGGCCGCAGCTGCGAGTCCTAGGAGCTGTAGTGCGCCCCGAGGGAGCCTGGGACGGACACAGAAATGGGGAAAATATGCGATGCTATCTGGTGTCACCCACCTCTCTCTGGTGTCGGCGTAGGTTGATTTAGTACACTGGAGGGAAGTTGGACTTTTGACAAACTGATCACTATCGCAAGGCCGATGTGCTAGCCTCTGCCAGCGTCAGTGGGGGTTCAACTCATGAATCAGGAATCTAAGGCTGTCCAGGTAGGCCGCTTCCATTGAATCATCTTGTGGTCTCGTTTCCCGACTTTCAACTCGACGACAAAAAGATTTCCTATTTCCCATGAAGGGCTGCGCAACGTGCATGTCATACTACAGGTTCCAAGATTGCAGTTTCAGGCACCAGCCACAACATCTCTGCAACTCTGCCTCTGCTCCACGAGCCAAGAGGAGCTCACGACAGGGCGAGCCTCGGGTGGATCTGCTATGTGACATCGTCCTGACCTTTTATGAGTTGACCTCCTACGGAACATACTCCTACTAGTAGTCTCTTACGTGATAAGTAGTTTCGCTTCTATTCTATATACATCCGAGGACATACATGGCGCCTTCATACGGTGGTAAGCACTCAAGACCTAGCGCTTGAAAAGAATACAATGTCGATAATGATAGTCATAATACGATAGGTTCTTATGGCCTCAGCCTTGCGACGCACAGACAAGGCTAAGGGGGACCGTCTTGACGACAGTGTTGACGCCCTTACGGAAAATATTCGTACCCTCCTTCGGGAGGCTCCAATCTAGAAGCTGGTCATCTGCACTCAGTAACTCAGTCGTTATATTAAATGATAAGGAAGCCAGCTACTGAAGCAGAAGTAAATTGATGATGTATCCACCCAGTTTAGCCCAATCACCTAAACCTCCTAGTGACCACATCCGCAGCCACTGTTAACCTTAGAATGTTGCATCCGCAGCCAAAACCAAATATTTTGAACTTGTGTCGCCTCGTCTCCAGGCTTGGGGGGTTCTGTGGCAGCTTGACGTCCACTGGTTCGACTGCGTGCCAATGACACGGGTTTTTGGCCCGTGAGTCACGTTAGAGAACGCGGTTGGCGTGCGATGGCGGCTCTCAAACCCAACTGCGAGGCTCGTTCTGGACAGCGAAGACGTTGCCCCAGTGGGAGATCACGGTCTCATCCGTGGTGGCCTTCACAAGCTGGTCGACTTTGGTGGGCTTGAGGGCGTGGCACTTGATGATTCCGTGCTCCTTAATGTATGCCAGTAGTCCTGCCACGCGTTGGTATAGGGTCTCAGCATAGTCGTGTCTGATACTAAATGTATGCTTGAGGCGCCATGCCTTATACGTGTCGCGACGGTCTCCATACCGTGCTTTGGTGCGTACTCGAGAGGGCCACCGTGAGGACCCAGGGCTTCTAGGTCATTTCCTCACTCTGAAGCCCTTTCTTACTACCCAAAACTATCACCATGGTATTCGCCTTAATCTGACAGTCAAGATGGTACATATCGTCAAGTCTGAATAATTCTCTAGGAATCGTAAGGGTATCTTGAAGTGAAAGTGGTCGTTGAAAAAAAGGCTTGTGGGTGTGGAAATGGACTTTCCTGGGAGGCTCCTTCCTTCTGAGTAACTCTCTTCTAAATCCTTAAGGTAGGTCTCCTGCTTAGGTACGTTGGCTGGCTGAGAGAGATTCCCTTCCTTCCCCTTCTTATTAGGTCTTTTTTAAGTTTTTGGCTTCTGTTGGCTTTGCTTCTGAAGGGTCTGCTTCTGATGGCTCTGCTTCTGAATCTCTGGATGTGGGATTCTGATTGACTTGAAGGGGGAAGGTGGAGGACTTGGTGTTGGAAGGAAGGAAGGAAGGAAGGAAGGAAGGAAGGAAGGAAGGAAGGGAGAAGTACTCCTCCTCTCCTTATATAAAGGAAGATATAAAGACTTCTCTATAATTACTTCTTCTCTCTATAAGTCTCTCTTTTATAAGTTTATTTAACTAAAAAGAAACTATTAAAAGGTTAAGTAATCACCTATATTAAAAGGCTACTATTTACATTAAATATATTTAAAGTTAATCTTAGAGGGATAATAGTTAAATAGGTAAATAAATATTATAGTGACTATCTCTAATACACACCAATGTACAGTATAGCAGACAACTCCCTCAGCATGCAACTCGGCGTGATCGTCTACGCGGTTGCTTCGTCAGCTCCCCCAAACTAACAAGCAAGATATATCCTATATATTTTAACCACCTAACATCCCTAGCCCACATTCTAATAATCCTCTAAATCTAACTACCTTATATCTATATTTATATATATATATATTTATTCCTACTTTATTTATACCTCTTTATAACTTTATAAGAAATTTTATTTAATTATTAAATTTTCTTTAAGTATTATTTTAATTATTATAAAAAAATATAGAGAAAAAGAATTTATAATATATTTAGAATAATTAAAAATAAAATATTTATATAAAAAACTTTTAGAATTTAATATATTTTATATATTATATTTTATAATTATTTCTTTAATATATAAAGTAAATTTATTATTTATAAATTTTATTAATTTTTAATATTTAAAAAAGTAATTAATATTATTTTTAATAAATTAAAATAGTTTAAAATATATTTTAATTTATTAAAAATATAAACTTTAATAAGTTAAATAGTCTTTTTTTTAATATTTTTCTATTAGGAGGAAGTAGTTAAAAGTTTTTAATTTATTACTTTATCCTTAAAAGTTATAAATATTAATAGGTTAAGGTAAAATAGTTAAAAGTAATAATAAAAGAATATATTTATATAGTTTAATTTAATATAACTATTTATTATAAAAGTTATTAAATTAAATAACTATTAGAATATTAATAAAGAAGGATTAATAAAAGAGAAGTTTAAAATAGTATTTATAATTAATTATTTAAAAGTAATAAATTACTTTAAAAGGACTTTAATTTATATATATAAACTTTTTTATAAAGTATATATTTATTATAGGTAAGTTTTTAAACCTTTTATTATTTTTAAGGGATTAAATATATAATAGTAGTAATTTTTATAGTTTTTAAAATTATATAGATTAATAGTTTATAATAATAAAAAGTGTTAAATAAAAGAGTTTATTATAATTAAATAGTTAAGGAAAGTCTTGTTTTTAAAATTATATTAAAAATTTATTTAAATAATACCTTTTATAATTAATAAGTATTATATATATATTATAATTAATTTTATATAAAAATACTTTTAAATAATATTTATATTATTTTTATTAGTTATTAATTTATATATATTTTCATTATTTAATATATTAATTTTTAATTTATTTAAGATCACCTTTAAAAATATTTATAATATTAGAGTAACTATAATTTCTTATTAATAATTATAAAAAAGTTTTTATTATTATTATAAAATATATATTAAAGCCTTTATAAAGTTAAGTATTTAATTTAAATAATAAATAATTAATTTATAATTACTCTTTAAATATAAAGCTTTTAATATATATTTTATTAAAGATTAATAGATTATTAAAATAAAGAAAGTAAAAGAGATTATTATTAAATAAAATACTATATATTTTTATAATAAATAATATTTTTATTAATTTTAAAGAATTATTTTAAGATTTTTAAATAATTATAAAAGTTATATAATATAATAACTAAATATATTTATAATAAATATTTAAGCTTTATATAATAACTTTTTTATAAAATTTTAAAAATTAAAATTAAAAATATTAATTTAATAATATTTATAAAAAGTTTAAAAGTTAAAATATTAATTAAAAGTTAATAAAGTAATTTAAAAAAAAGATTTAATTTAATTTAAATAAATTATTTATAAATATTAAAATAGTTTAATAAATTTAAATTAAAGTTAAGTAGATATTTAAAAAAAGTAATAAAAATAATTAATTAAAGACTTTAACTATTAAGGAGGATAAAATTATAATAGTAGTATAAATAGGGTTAAAGTAAAAGGGTGGTTAAAGGAGAAGGTAGTTGGATTTAGGGGACTGTTAGAATGTAGGCTGGGGATATTAGGTATCTAGGTACTTATG